TATATATATATATATATATATATATTGTTTAATTCAATCATTTTAATAATATGTATTCTTTTTAATTTACCAGAAACTTCAAAATAAATTCTCACCCTGTACTGAAACCTGTTTCAACGTCTTACCACCACCAACTGGTAAGGCATGCGACGTCAATTTGAACCCCGCCCACTGGAACCAGTACTGAAAGCATAATGAAAGGGACTATGGAAACACAACCTGTACCGTACCGAGTCGAACCGTGCTGTACCGGTACTAAAAAAAGGTACTTTGGAAAGGGGCATAAGTTGCACAAAGAGTTGGCAATTATATTTATGCCGGATGCTCTTCCTGACACAACCTCCGACCACAGCCCTCTGTGTGGAGCAGAGAGCAGCTGTCTAGGGTGACCAGGGGAGCAGATGGTGGGGGTTAAGGGCCTTGCTCAAGGGCACAGAGTGGGGCAAATGAGGATGGAGACAGGTGTGGCTGCTTCACCTATTCCACACACATTTTGATGTTGTCAGTACCAGAAGTTGAACCAGCGATCTTCCGATCACAGGCTCACCTTCTCTAATGTCTGCGCCACTGCTCCTAATATTTAACTTTATTCACAACTGTTTTGTCCGGGGGCAACACATCGAGATCTCTTCCGTTTCCTCAAAAGCATTCTCTTTGAAAGCTGCTTCACTATAGTTCCTCTGTTTTTGTCCTTTTATGCCACTTTTAGTTTTTAGCCAGCCTTTTTCTACTTTTAGCTTTTTTGTATTGTTTTGCTACAGTTAGCTAATGTTTTGATTTTTTTTATTAGTGGACTATACTTATATAGCAACTTTGTAGCCAACCAGGTCACTGGAAGTATTTTACAACACAATCTGTGCCCTCATTGTAATGGCCTGGTGGTGGTTTGAACCCAGTATGCAGGGAGAACTCAGGTTAAAAGTAAAAATTATTTAATAAAAAAAAAATAAAAAAAATTAACAAAAGGGCTGACGTGGCAGCAGAAACCTATAAGGGGACATGAAGGAAGACAAAAACCAGGACGTTGTGCAGAACATGTCGCACGAGCAAAGAGTCTTCATGAGAAAGTGCCAAGATACAAGAGAACAGGAAGCGCAGATTAAAATACACAAACACTAATGAGACAAATGACAAACAGCTGGGGGAGACAACAGGTGGTGGCAGAAGCTAATTACATGAGGGACAGACCACAAGAGGGAGACACACACTGACAGAAGAAAAGCACAAAGAACAAACAAAAGGACAGATTATGACACTTATTTACCTCTACACACTTTCATACAGCACTCTGCTGCATCTCTAAAAGTTTATCTGAATAAATCTTTATATAGAAACTAATCAGTGCTTTTAGGTTTTGTAATGGGGCAGGTAGAGAATGAGGGGTTCAGTGTCTTGCCCAAGGGTACTTCGTCATGTTGCCTTCAATCGAACCGCCGACTCTGGTTCGATTCGATTGATGGCTGCTCCAACCGCTGAGCTGCAGCCGCCCTATTTTAGCTTTTAGCTAAAGTTTTGCTTCCACTGGCTTTTAGTTCAGTGCAAACTAACCTGTATAAATAAAGGTTGAATGAATGAATGAATGAATGAATGAATGAATGAATGAATGCATTCATCTCAGGGATGTGAATAATTTTAAATTACAGCAAAGGTGCAACAGAAACGTAATATTCTGTTTCAGAAATTAAGTTATGTGCGTGTTGTGCTAAAAAGCAGTGCAAGTTAAAAAAGGGAGATCCATGAATTTTAAAAGTTTGAGAGAAAACACAAAAATAAAAAATATATATATTACATAAAAGACAGCTGCATCACATCGAGAGTAAAGTTAGTTTTAAGCAAACTGAATAGCAATTTTTTTTTCAGACTTTAGAATTATTTTGTTCTGTTCAGTTCAATTTTTTATAAATTTTTCTTGATGAAGCAGGTGTTTTGTTAAACTACACAGTGTTTGCTTGTATGTTTATGTATTTATTTGTTTATTTGGTAGCTTATGAAAACCTCCAGGCTCGAGAAGAGACAAGAAACGCTGCCTGGCAGAAGGACGGGTGGGCTGTAAATGTATATAACACAGGTAAGACATCTACTCTCAGCCCTCCATCCACCTATCCCCAAGAAAGACAATTCTAACAATAGCAAAGTTATTGTATAATTTATTAGATTTCTTTATTAAACAAGCATGCAATTTACAGAATAATGTTTTCTGTGTTGATTAAAGACATAATCATAAATTCTTCTGGTTGAATTAGAATCTATTTCTGCACCATAAGGCTCATTTAAACTTATTTTACTTTCTATTAACAAACTGTAAAGTGTTGACACTGAGACATTTAGGATATTAATAGTAATTTGATTCATAGCATTTCCTGTAATTATGATCAAACCGTCTAAGAGTATAAAGTTTAAACGCAACAAACACAACATTTAAAAGAAAGACAGCCTTGCTGCACTGTAAAGGTTGTCTCACAGACTTTGACCTAATAAAAGTGAAGTAACGTTTCAGGATTTGATTAAGAATACGTCTAAGTTGTGTTTGTTTTTATAGGTAATTTAATGAACATGCACTATGCAGAAGTTTTTGTAATTTGTGTCTGTCTGTCCTCAGTGCCTTTGGTCCAAACGATGAAGTCTAGGCTGATGATTCCCACAAAGTGTTCACCTTTACAATGACAGGATGACTCGAAACACCTCAACAAGCAAAGCTCATGGACATGTTGGTCCTGACTGACTGTAAACATTTTATTTGTTGTTTTGTTTTTGTGCTCATTCTGCTGGATGAAGTGTATTACGTTGATATCTGGTGTTATATTTTCACTCCAGGCATTAATTGTAATTATATACTGTGCGCTTTATGTCTGAAAATAAAATATGTGTTTTTGCACTTTTAGGTCAAATATGCGGCGATAAAGAATATAAACAGAAATTCAGATTGTAGTATGTAAAATGGTGTATTTACAATATGTGTAAGTAGAACTGAGTACAGACGTTTTCTTTTATAAAGCACGATTTTGTTCTGAATATTTGTCCTTTTGCATCAGTGAAATTTTAACTTCCACCCATTTTTTTTATCTTATCTTTTTTATAGTTACAATAAGATCAAGCTCAGCTTCACAACAGTGAGTGTGAAAAAGAAGCTCATGGAATACTGTAAACCCATCCCTCATTTCTATTCCACATTATTAAACACACTTGACAGTCTGAGCATTAAACTTTGTTATTAAAGCAGTTACCATTTCTGGAATGAAGTTCTCATCATTTTCTAAATAAAGACTGACTTATACACCATTGTGAACACTGTAATATTTACAATCAAATTATGTATAAATTAATTATTTCTCTACCTTCAGAAGCAGGTCTTCTAAATACACATCTTCCCTCCACTGTTGCCCACCATCCTGTCCATGCCACCATGCTATTTATCCATCCATCCATCCATTTTCTTCCGCTTATCCGGGGTCGGGTCGCGGGGGTAGCAGCCTAAGTAGGGAGGCCCAGACTTCCCTCTCCCCAGCCACTTGGGCCAGCTCTTCCGGGGTAATCCCGAGGCGTTCCCAGGCCAGCCGAGAAACGTAGTCCCTCCAGCGTGTCCTGGGTCTTCCTCTGGGCCTCCTTCCGGTGGGACGTGTCCGGAACACCTCACCAGGGAGGCATCCAGAAGGCATCCTAAACAGATGCCCAAGCCACCTCAACTGGCTCCTCTCTACGTGGAGAAGCAGCGGCTCTACTCCGAGTCCCTCCCGGATGATCGAGCTTCTCACCCTGTCTCTAAGGGAGAGCCCAGACACTCTGCGGAGAAAACTCATTTCGGCCGCTTGTATCCGAGATCTCATTCTTTCGGTCACAACCCAAAGCTCGTGACCATAGATGAGGGTAGGACCTCCTCCCTGACCCGGAGAGGGCACTCTACCCTTTTACGGCTCAAGACCATGGCCTCGGATTTGGAGGAACTAATCTTCATCCCGGCCGCATCGCATTCGGCTGCAAACCGCTCCAGCGAAAGCTGTAGATCACGATCTGATGAAGCCAATAAGACCACATCATCTGCAAAAAGCAGAGATGCAATCCTAAGGCCACCAAAACGGATCCCCTCAACACCTTGGCTGCGCCTAGAAATTCTGTCCATAAAAGTTATGAACAGAATCGGTGACAAAAGGCAACCTTGGCGGAGTCCAACTCTCACCGGGAACAAGCCCGACTTACTGCCGGCGATGCGGACCAGGCTCTGACACCGGTCATACAGGGACCTAACAGCCCGTATCAAAGGGCCTGGTACCCCATACTCCCAGAGTACCCCCCACAGGGCCCCCCGAGGGACGCGGTCGAACGCCTTCTCCAAGTCCACAAAGCACATGTAGACTGGATGGGCAAACTCCCACGCACCCTCCAGGACCCTGCTGAGAGTGTAGAGCTGGTCCAGTGTTCCACGGCCAGGACGAAAACCGCACTGTTCCTCCTGAATCCGAGGTTCGACTATCCGACGGACCCTCCTCTCCAGAACCCCCGAATAGACCTTACCATGGAGGCTTAAGAGCGTGATTCCCCTGTAGTTGGAACACACTCTACGGTCCCCCTTTTTGAATAGGGGGACCACCACCCCGGTCTGCCAATCCAGGGGAACTTCCCCCGATGTCCACGCAATATTGCAGAGTCACGTAAGCCAACACAACCCTACAACATCCAGAGCCTTAAGGAACTCTGGGCGGATCTCATCCACCCCTGGGGCCCTGCCACCGAGGAGCTTTTTAACCACCTCGGTGACCTCAGCACCAGAGATTGGAGGGCCCAACCCAGAGTCCCCAGGCTCCGCTTCCTCAGTGGAAGACGTGCCGGTGGGATTGAGGAGGTCTTCAAAGTATTCCGCCCACCGACCCACAATATCCCGAGTTGAGGTCAGCAGCACACCACTCCCACTATAAACAGTGTTGGTGGCGTACCGCTTTCCCCCCCTGAGACGCCGGATGGTGGACCAGAATCGTCTCGAAGCCGTGCGGAAGTCGTTCTCCATGGCCTCTCCGAACTCCTCTCATGCCCGAGTTTTTGCCTCAGCAACACCCGAGCCGCATGTCGCTTGGACTGCTGGTACCCATCAGCTGCTTCCGGGGTCCCACAGGCCAAAAAGGCCCGATAGGACTCCTTCTTCAGCCTGACAGCATCCCTCACCGACGGTGTCCACCATCGGGTTCGAGGGTTGCTGCCGCGACAGGCACCGACAACCTTGCGGCCGCAGCTCTGGTAAGCCGCATCGACAATAGAGGCACGAAACATGGTCCACTCAGACTCAATGTCCCCCACCTCCCTTGGAACATGTTCAAAGTTCTCCCGGAGGTGGGAGTTGAAACTCCGTCTCACAGGAGACTCTGCCAGATGTTCCCAGCAAACCCTCACAATACGTTTGGGCCTGCCAGGTCTGACCGGCATCCTCCCCCACCATCGGAGCCAACTCACCACCAGGTAGTGATCAGTTGACAGCTCCGCCCCTCTCTTCACCCGAGTGTCCAAGACATGTGGCCGCAGATCAGATGAGACAATGACAAAGTCGATCATCGAACTGCGGCCTAGGGTGTCCTGGTGCCAAGAGCACATATGGACACCCTTATGCTTGAACAAGGTGTTCGTTATTGACAATCCATGACGAGCACAGAAGTCCAACAACAGAACACCACTCTGGTTCAGATCAGGGGGCCGTTCCTCCCAACCACACCCCTCCAGGTCTCACTGTCATTGCCCACATGAACATTGAAGTCCCCCAGCAGAACAAGGGAGTCCCCAGAAGGTGCACTTTCCAGTACCCCCTCTAAGGACTCCAGAAAGGGTGGATAATCTGGACTGCCGTTTGGTGCATAAGCACAAACGACAGTCAGAACCCATCCCCCCACACTTAGGCGGAGGGAGGCCACCCTCTCATTCACCGGGGTGAACCCCAATACACAGGCACCAAGTTGGGGGGCAATAAGTACGCCCACGCCTGCTCGGCGCCTCTCACCAGGGGCAACTCCAGAGTGGAAGAGTGTCCAGCCCCTCTCAAGGAAACTGGTTCCAGAGCCCGAGCCATGCGTAGAGGTGAGTCCGACCATTTCTAGCCGGAACCTCTCAGCCTCACACACCAGCTCAGGCTCCTTCCCCACCAGTGAGGTGACATTCCACGTCCCAATAGCCAGCTTCTGTAGCCGAGGATCAGACCGGCAGGGTCCCCGCCCTCGGCCACCACCCATCCCACATTGCACCCAACCCCTTTGGCCCCTCCCACAGGTGGTGAGCCCATGGGAAGGGGGACCCACGTCTCCTCTTCGGGCTGTGCCCGGCCGAGCTCCATGGGTAAAAGCCCGGCCACCAGGCGCTTGCCCACGTGCCCCACCTCCAGGCCTGGCTCCAGAGTGGGGCCCCGGTGACCCACGTCTGGGCAAGGGAACACTAGGTCCATTTGTGTTTCTCATCATAGGGGTGTTTGGGCTGCACTTTGTCTGGTTCCTCACCTAGGACCTGTCTGCCATGGGTGACCCTACTAGGGGCATAAAGCCCCTGACAGCATAGCTCCTAGGATCATTGGGACACTCAAACCCCTCCACCACGGTAAGGTGGCAGCCCAGGGAGGGGCCATGCTATATAGCTATATATCTGTCTATATATATTGATATATAGATACCATACCATACCAATTTATTTATATAGCACTTAAAACAGCAACAAGGCCAACCAAAGTGCTGTACAAAAGAACCAAACATGCACAGCAGACAGTAAAACATAAAATAGAAATACAGATACAAATAGCAGCAGAAGCTAACTAAAATGGCCAACAGAGTAGAGAACAGACCGGACCAAAACAAATCACACCGTGTTAAAGGCAAGCGAATAGAAGTGGGTCTTCAAGCGAGACTTAAAGACTGAGAGTGTGGGAGCCTGCCGGACACTCAGTGGCAACTCATTCCACAATCGTGGACCTGCAACAGAGAAAGCCCTGTCACCTCTGAGCTTACGACGGGTTTCTGGGACTGAGAGAAGCATCTGGTCTGCTGACCTCAGAGAGCGCGGTGGGACATATGGCTGCAGAAGATCAGTGAGATAGGATGGGGTGGAACTGTTCAGTGATTTAAAAACATACATGAGAATTTTGAAATGGATCCGAAGGTGAATGGGTAGCCAGTGCAGGGAGGCCAAAACTGGCGTGATGTGCTCTCTATAGCCTGTACCAGTTAAAAATCGGGCTGCAGCATTTTGGACCAGTTGTAGACGAGCAATGGAGGACTGACTGATTCCAAACAGAAGTGAATTGCAGTAATCAAGCCTAGATGTTATGAAGGCGTAGATATGTAGAGGAGAGATAGATGGATAGATAGAGGGGGGGTGGATGGATAGAGATAGAGAGGATGGATGGATGGATAAATAGTTAAAGCGGCAAAGACCTCTTAGTTCATTTTGATATTCTAAACTTTATTTTGAAAAATCATAACGGAAATACATTTTCTGTTCAGTTATTCCAACTTTCTTGAAACCGGAAACGGTCACCGCCGGGAAGCTGTAGCTTTAAGAGGAGGTGTCTGGTCGGTCGCTGTGGCCGCCTCTGGTATTTGAATGAATGTAGTTGAGCCAGGCAGCTTTGGTCGGATGTTATTTCGTCTTGAGAGCTAAGCACAGCTAGAAGCTGTACTTTTTATATCCGTCGGTAATGACGGGTCTATGACTAGCATTTGACAAATATAGCACTTAGCTAGCTAGTAAGTCGTGTTTTGTTTTTTTCGTTTTTCCGCAACAGCCGACTGGAGGCACAAATCTCGTTATTAGAATAAAATATGGATTTACACATCTTGGACCACAGGCTTCGGGTCACCAGCATATCCAAAAATGGACTGGTCAATTTCACACACCCTCTTATAAAACTGATATTTCTCCGGAACAGGACGAGGTGAGTAATCTAGATGGGTCTGGTAATCCAGTACGGACGTTCATTCATACACAAGGCTGAAGTGGAGCCATTGTTTTGGGGTTGTTTTTACACAATACCTGCCCCTGCAACAGTCAGGGACACACAAACCTGAACATGTTAAAACAACAGTGCAGTGTTTGCACGCTGCAGCCTCTGAACCATAGTCAAAGTGTTAAAAAAAAACAACTTTTTCTGCAAACTTTTTGTTTCTCTTGTGTAGAGGGTTGGAATAATGTGAAAATGCATCCAAACTCCCATTTGTCAGCTTATTTGCTTCCTAGAAGAGACAGCCAGGGCATCATTTTGAACTTTTTGCTCCAAGAAAAGCTGCCTGATTTAATGGAGATGTAAAAATACTTTTTTTGTTTAACAACCATACTAATTGTTAGTTCATGTCTGCTAGTACCTATATTCCAAAAATCAACCAGTTTGATTAATCAGAGCATGTTTTTTTTCCCACCAGTAAAATGTTAAAATGGTACTGATCGTATTTTCTGCATTAACGCAGTCAGTCTTTGTGGTGAATAAAGTTTTTTGTTTTGAAGTATTTTCATAAATTAAACTACTTAAAAAGCTTATGAACATCTATCAAAGTTTAGTCTCTAAACATATATAGGAATTATGTCAATTTTTATGATGGATGACAATTTTTTGCATTATTCCATGGACATTTAGGAAAATAATTGACAATTATTTATTATATCTGTTCAATTCAGTTCAGTTTATTTATATAGCGCCAAGTCACAACAGAAGTCATCTCAGGGCACTGAACAGAAACACTTGATATATAAAATATAATAATTTAACACTTTTTATCTGAGGAGCAGACCGCTTTGAATTTAACTCGATTGCAGAACTCTAATCTTGAGCAAGCATGAAGGCGACAGTGGAAAGGAAAAACTCCCTCATGGGGAAGAAACCTTTAGCAGAACCAGGCTCAGGACAAGCAACCACCTGCTTCGACCAGCTGTGTTTGAGAGGAACAGATACACAATGGCAGGTGAACGCACATTAAAACGGAAGTCGTATCATATGAAAACTATTCATCCATCCATCCATTATCTTTATCCGCTTATTCCATTTTGGGTCACGGGGGTCGCTGGTGCCCATGTCCAGCAATCACTGTGCGAGGGGCGGGGGACACCCTGGACAGGTCGCAAGTCCATCACAGATGAAAACTATTCAATTTTAACAATTTATTTAAGGAAATGAGGTCATCAGTAGTCTAAGCCTATGGCAGCATAACAAGCCATTCCCTAACTATAGGATTTATCAAAAAGGAAATCCTTAAGCCCAGTCTTAAAACAGGACAATGTCAGAGTCAGAGTTTTTTTATTGTCATTCGTACCACATGTTGTTCATGTGGTGGAACGAAATTGTGTACACATGTTCCCAGTTACATCCAACAATAAAATGTAAAAGAAAACCAGTAATAAGATCTAAAATATGAACTAAGAAAAACATCAACTAAAATTACATATAGCATAAAAACAATACGCCAAACGGCAGCACGAACATGTCTGTGTGAGCAAATGAGCACAAATGAAGACGACAGCATAAAACAGATCAGCAGCAACATGAAAAAGATCAGCAGCAACATGATGTGATTTTTCACAGTGATTATTCTGGTTAGAGATTCATGAGTCTAACAGCCTCAGGGTAGAAGCTGTTCCTCAGTCTAGTGGTTCTACACTTAATGCTCCTCAACCTCCTTCCTAAGGGGAGTGGGGCAAAAAGTGTGTGTGCTGGGTGAGTGGGGTCCTTCATGATGCAGGTGGCCCTCTTCCTACATCTAGAGGTGTAGATGTCCGTGATGGTGGGGAGACTGACTCCAACAGTCTTCTGTGCAGCCTTCACCACTCTCTGCAAAGCTTTTCTTTGTCATTATTCAACAGCAACTTTGTTGTTAGCCTTACGGACAGAAACTGGAAGTTGGTTTCACAAGAGAGGAGCCTGCTCCTGCTTGGTAGCCTCTGCTCAGTAATGTCTTCAGCAGCATGGTTTTGACATGTCTAATGATTTATAACCTCTTTACAAGCTACTGCACTGACTCTGCTAACTAGTTTCTTAACTGCAGATCCTGTCGATGCAGATTAAACGCGTCAGGAGAGAACTGAGCAACATTTAAGTAAATTTACGTAAAGTGCTATGTATTCTCATCATTGTATGTTCCCATACAATGACAAAATTAGTTGTCTGCATTTAACCCATCACACGTGACATAAACCCAGATGGAGCAGTGGACAGCTATGCAAGCGCCTGGGGAACTGAGTCAAGCCTCTGCATGCGATTGGTTTTTCATGTTGAAGAGGTGGCTACATTTTTTAGGTGTTTAAGTAAAAACTATGAGAAAAGAAAAAAAAAAAACCTTCAAGCTTCACTTCCTTGGGTTAAAGAAGGGTCCTTGCTCATTCTTTGTCATTACATCACCATGTCTTCCCTTGTTCTTATTGATTTATTTCAAATTTTATTATGTAGTTGGTGCCTTTCTCCTTCAAACTGTCAGATGATTCATAGGGATTGGGATCAGTGGCTAGCAAGAACAAACCTGATTTGCCCTGGATGGATTTTATTCATCCAACCCTTTTCAGGCCTCTCCCATTCATTAAAGAACGTCTCTCTGCACACAGTGATTTGACAGCTCCTCTGAGGAGAATTTTAATGAGCTGTTTGCACTTTATTAGAAATATTTTTCTCCAACATCTTCTACAGCTCAAGTTTTGGCACCGATTGAGGTCTTGTTCGGTTGAAAAGTCCTTCCAGGGATTTATATTTGTCTAAAAACACATTTGCATAGGATGGAAATGCGTATCTTTCAATTAGTCAAAGTGGAGCAAAGTAGGTATAATCTTGTAAATATTTTAAAGTTGACATTGGTCTTCTCAGATAAATGTAAAATTCTATTTAATTGTTGTTTAGACTCTTTAGGCGCGGTAGGCAAAGATCGGTGTAAGAGCACCATTCTGTTAGTCTTTCTGCTTTGTGGACGCAGCCCTGCAGGCACCACACGGTCCTCCTTTCTTGTTTGGCTGTGAACTAATCAGAGAATGGGCTGTAACAAAGTGTCAGCTGAGCCACAAACCCAGTTGGGTATTTTCCACTTGTTTACTTCAGTGATTTTCCTACGCGTTTACGTGGAACTGCTCAGCTTGTAAAAACCTCTAGAAACTTTTTTTTTTTTTCGTCAGTGTTTAAGCTAGCAGGGAACTTGACCATCCTTTGATGATGAGGCTTGATGCAGCTTCAGGCTCCTTCCTTACGCTTCACATCAGTTTTCTCTTATCATATTTCCTCAGCTGGACCATCAGTCGATTCCCCCACACCAAAAAAAAACACCACCAGCAGCTCTCTGTCCGTTATTGTTGCTACCACCTGTAGTTTTCTTCAGTTGGATCAAAGTCCAGAGTCTTGTGTACCTGGTTTTCATCGTCCCCACTTGGCTGCTCCCTCTCTACCTGCTGGTTCTTTGTCTCTATTGGTTTTCTCTCTGCTTCAGAGGAAATAGCTTATTTATCCAGTCCATTACCAGCATTGCTCACAAGTACATTGTGTTACAGAGAGCTGTACAGACACAATATACTGGGGGAACAATATGGGATGTTTAATTGTTTGTTTTCTGCAATATTAAATACTTTTTAACATACCGAGTAGGGATGCACGATATTGGATTTTTGGCCGCTATTCGATATGTCGATATGTTAAAACTTATTTGGCTGATAATCGATGCCGATACCAATATTTTAAATAGTTTGTCAGAACATAGCCTCTTATTTAGGCTTATTTGTTTCAAAAATTGTGCAACAGCTGGTGACATATATTCTTTAGCATAGCATTTTTCACACAAAGCTTTTAATAATAAAAAAAACAAAACAATAAACAAGTTCGCAACTTCTTCTTGCAGCGAAAAACTTTTTATAAGGCGCCACGGGTTTCAAGCTTGAATTTTGGAGCTTTGACAAGACGGAGGTTTTATCCTGTGGTCGGCCTGTTAGCTTAGCTTGTAGCTTAGCTTCTCAGCTTGGCTGCTTTGAACGATCCAAAAACTTTATTTTGGATGGTTGAAACAGATTTTAAAGAGAAAAGGAGGGGTCAGTGAAGAGCACTGAAGTTGAACGTTTTGTCATCCAGTGTCTTCAGTAGAAAGAGAGAGACCTGAAGAAACAATAAAGCTGGTAAATTAAAATGAGGTCGATAATAAATCAATTAATCGTATGATGAAGGAAAATTGTTTATCGCGACAGGCCTTTGCACCGGTAACATACACAAATACGTACAGTAAATGTTTTTTTCTGAACAGTGCCTGTAACACAACTGGTTAAAAAATAAAATACAGTAGCCTACTGGGAAGTCATTGATCGCTGTCTTCATCTTCCTCTTGCGCACTGTGCCGCTTTGAGTTGGTGCTGTCCTCCAACACGCAGCAGCCTTTCGAAACTCGTTGTTGATAAAGGATTTTTTTACACTGCTCCGCTGTCAGGATCCACTGGCAGACTTGAGCAAAAGTCGCTTTGCACATGCGGCCAGTTTTGGTAAATGATTTTTCGCTGCCAGTCATCCAAACCTCCCAACAAGCTCGGAGTGCACAATTCACACTGATGTCAAGTGGCTGCAAATACTTTGTTGTTGTTGTACAGTGGGGAGGGAACGAGAGAACGGTCTCCACTGTGACCTGTTTGTTCATTAGTGAGGTTTTTTTTTTTTAAACCTTTATTTATACAGGTAGTCTAATTGAGTCACGAGGACCCACCCCACAAGAGAGGCTTGTAGTGGACAGCTATGTGAGCGCCCAGGTGTGACGAGGCTAAATGTTTTGGCAGCATGAAGCTCATTATACCATCAAAAACCAAAAATAAAAATAAAAATCCATAAATTAGCTGCAGCATTGTATAACAAAGTGTTCATAGTTTGTGAAAAAGTAGTGGCTTATAGTCCGGAAATAATGGTAGTTCGGTCTGAGTCCAGATAAGACTTGATGAGTTCAAACTATTTAAAAGCCAACACTGGATAAATCCAACCATTTTTAGTCTGGTTGTCTGGACAGTTTATTTTTTTGTGCTGAAACGTTTCACCTTCCATCCAGAAGGCTTCATCAGTCAAGGAAACAACACAAAACTGATTCTTCCCCCAACAGCTTACTCCTTAATGGAACAAACCAGTTATGTTGGTGCTAAAATGGTCTCTTTGGCACGCCCCCTCCTCCGGTGCCGGCCCTCTTCCTCGTCGACAGTAATGTCATACTGGTTCAAAACCAACAATGTCCATGCTCAATAATCCAGGTATATAATTAACAGTTTTCAGTCAGGTCATCTGGACGGTTTCATTTTTTTGTTTTGTTGTGTGCCGACACGTTTCACCTTCCATCCAGAAGGCTTCATCAGTCAAGGAAACGCACAACACAAAACCTTACGAGCCAAGCCTTCTGGATGGAAGCTGAAACGTTTCAGCACAAAACAAATAAAAGAAACTGTCCAGATGACCTGAGTGAAAATTGTTGGATTGCATACCTGGATTATTGAGCATGGATTTTGTTGGTTAACACTGGATAAAGTTTTGCTCTTTAGAAGCAGCTGGCAGGTCTGTCAAACTCAAGTGACGTGTGACCAGATGTTTGCAGATTAATATTTGCAAGAATATTCAAAGTGCATTTCTGCCTGTTGTCTTAATCAGAAGTGTAGAAATATTCTGATAAGAAGGATTTGCAAACATCTTGAGGGGTGCCACAGTGATGAAGGAAAGTGAAAAGTGGAAGCGTGAGCACACATTTCCTCTTCATTCTGAAATAAACTGATGTTTCTTATCCGTCTTATCTGTACTTTGCAAACAGGAAACCAACAATTCACAGCTGTTTCACAAACGGGTTGTTGTTCAAGCAAAAAGTCAACATGTTGCTAACATTTTGCGAGGCTGCTGCATGATATACGACACCTGCTGGAAACTGCAAGTTAAGGAAGATGAAAGGTCAACAGGAAGTGAGACGGCTTCTCGAGCACAATGGGACGCTGGTACAGCTGCTGGTTACAGCACTTTCTCTGTTCTTCTCTCCGTTTCATTGATGGGATTGTCTCATTTTTCTGGCAGGATTGTCTCTTTGTTGAGTCAGGAGTTTGGCACTTTCACTCAGGTGTGTGCTCTAATAGCATGCTCTGACAGAGAATAAGGAAGGTGTGTACGCAGAGAGCCAGTGAAACAGGAACATACTCCATTTCCTTCAAAACAAATATCAGCCCTGAAGACCTCACGATTTGATGCTTTCAAACACGAGCTTTAAATTTGCTCTCTTGTGTTGCTGAAACAGTTTCTGACAGTTAGAAGGCTGAACTCACATTAGCATTGAACAAACTTATTTATTCCTGAAACAATTACATTTATGTTATCTTCAGTTCAGCCATAAATAGCTGATGATAATATTTTAGGTACAGTCAGAATCCCACTAATCATCACATTTAACTTGACTCGAGTATTCTGTAACCAAAGCAGCTGTCCAGTTTGTTGTGTCTTGTATTTTTAGGCAAAGATGGAATAACTAAAAGAAACTAAACTGTCCTGTACCATAAATAACATTTTAAATAACCAAATGGTTTCTAGAGTTCTACTAAATACTTGTGTGAGAATCTAAATTGCTTTGTGTGGCTCGTAAATACACAGAATTGTTCTTTAACCTTGATTTGTGTTTTGTTTTTCCACGTCTTACTCAGTCTTTTCCCTTTTTGTTGTTTCAGGTGCAAGTTTTTTAGCCTGACCGAAACACCAGAAAACTACACAGTTGTCCTCGACCAGGAAGGATTCAAAGGTGAAACATTCATGTGAATGTACTTTTTATGCTTTAACCAGGCAGGCGTCTGCTCTGACGCTGAACTACCGTCTGAATGGTACATCTTCATCGTATGCTGCTCTTTCCCCCTCTTTTATTTGGCATTACTTTTTCTTTTCTTCTCAGCAAACGTACTTAACTTCATAAAGGGTTCATTATGTCACAAAGGGACTGCAAACATGATTGACTTGTTCAGAGAAAAACCAAAGATAAGCAACCAAAAAGTAAATGGTGGTTTTTAATCCGAGCTAAAGCATAAACCGTCACATTGAAATAACTTTTCAACTATTGCTCAGTAAAGATTTAAAGAATGGTTGGAACAGGTTGTGAATTGGGTCGCAAGATAGCGCTGTGTTGGTTTACCTCCTCACTGTTCCTTCCTTCCTTGTTCCCACTCGGATTATGTGGGATGGGTGTAGACGACCACAAGATTCAGAAAAAACAACTGCAATAGGAACAACAGGATGCAGTTTCATGTGGACGAGAAAAACAAATTTGTTTGGTTTGACACTAAAGCAGTTCTTGGTGTTCCCTCAGAAGAACCTTGATGAGCCAATAATTTCTTAAATAAATAAAATGCATAAAAGTAACTTGTATTTGATTAGACTCTTTGCCTTTGAGGCAATATGTGGGGAAAGCTTGATTTTATTATTATTATTTTTTCATTCTTCTTCTTCTAATGCATTGTCCAACAGTTCATTACGACTGAGAGAAAACCAACATTAGGATCCATTAGTGACTGCCTCCCTGCAAGAAAAAGCAGTCGGTGGTAAATCACAGCAGAGACGGTGAGGTAGCAGCTTGCTAGTTTTATGGTCAAGTTCAATTCTCAAGTCACTGTAATTCTCTGCATGAGAGCACTTTTAGGATGTAATTAGCCAAACGGTGTTCTGCTTAGATTGTTTTTTAATGCTTATTTTGCTATTACTGCCTTGGTTTTTCCCACAGATGCAGATGTTCTCGGATGTTTTCTGGTTCTGAGTGCCTATTTGAAGAGTTAGGAAGAGGCTGTTTGTGACCATTTAAGCAAGCAGAGCAGAGGGATTTTGAAGGGGAAGAAAGAAATGGAAGTAATCGCTGTTAGAAATTCCATCTGGAGATAAAAACAAAATTCATCTTGCTGTTTCTTTCACAATGTGAATACATAAGCAAGCCTGTTGACTCTATTCATGTCTTCTGTGAGATTTTTACTGGGCACAGCTAATTAGTACTGAACCTGAATAATAAAACATTTTTAAGTATTCACTTAGCTGATCATTAATGTCATTTTATGGCACCTTTAACTACTTTAAATGCAGATACATCTCATACAGTGAAGTCGTACTCCTTCCTATTCTGAGCAAAGATGTTTTCAAAGTAGAGAGTACTCTTGTCTTAAATATCCAGATCCAAGAACTCAATATGTATTTATTTATTTATGGCTGCTTGGAGTGTTACTAAATTATTTTTTCTCAATATGTTTATTTTAGAAAATCAGTTTTGCAAGATGAACAAAACGTAAATAAACGAGTGTTTTAATGAGAAAGTCCAATATCTAATCATAGTTGGGTCCAGTGAAGCTTTTCAAGGTGAGACGGTTTTAGAAGAAAATGTAATAGAGAGTTTCTGAGCAAATATTGTTATGAATCAATAATGCTTTATATTGAACGTCACACAGTTCAGCCCAAAAGCACATTTTTATTGACTTTCTATCTGTTGATGCTTAAAATTAGTCTCAAATGTAAGTTCTTTAACTCCAAATTGATACTGAATACATCAGAAGCACTAATGAAAGTCTGATGCCCTTGTCCTTTTTGGCGTTTCCTGCACTTTTAGTGTTTCATATCCCATTTTTCCTTTTACTGTCAGTTTAAAATGTTTAAACAGCAAAGAGTTTGTCAGTAAAATGGTCACTCTGATTGTAGTTTCAACAGGCTGTTTCACTCTAAATGAGGTCATATGTCTCAATGTGGACATTAACTATGTTGAATAAGATTATAGAAGAGACATTTTCTACAATCATGTTACTTTATGAAGCTGAATAGGTCGCCCCCTGGTGGACGTAGATTGGAATGCAGGTGTGAGGCAATTCTCAAAGGCTTTTATTTTTGAAAAGTGATTGAGTACACAGTTTAAGATCAAAACATTTGAATAGTTGTATTTTATTGTGCAGTGATGGAAAACTTTGTACAAAAAGATACTAATTGATCATAAGCAGCATAAAAGCATCCTGCTTGTGGTCAGACAATAACCAACAGTTTTGTTTTCCTGTCACTCCTCAGAGCTGCAGCCTTCAGAGCACCTCCAGGTTGAAAGCTCCACCTGGCTGCCACTCAACGTCGTCTCCAACGGCAACATCTCCAGCAGCTCTCAGGCTGTCGGCGTGACCAAGATTGCCAAGTCGGTCATCGCCCCCCTCGCCCAGCAGCACGTCTCGGTCTTCATGCTGTCCACCTATCAGACTGACTTCATCCTGGTGAGTGCCGTCTACTTTAGTCTCTTGTCCCTTTAACGTTTAACAACTCACGTCTTTCGATTTTGTAGGGAAACCTTTAACCTTTTAGTTCCTGTAAGAAGAAGAAGAAGAAAAATGGTGTTTGCATTTTGTCTACTCGTCAAATTTGCAGTTTATAAATTAATTCCTGACTGAGCTGAAACTACTAAAAATATTGGTTGATGAATTACATCAAAAGTTAAGTAGTTAGACATGCAGAACATGCCAGACATTCGTGTCAGCAAGTAGTTGTATATTAATGGTTGAACTTTTTAAATGCAATCATGGTTGTAAGTTCAAACGGCATTATATTTTGTGTTCTATGTATATACACACACTTCACAAAGAAAACAAGTGTTTACATTATTTTACATGGCTTTAGTTTGTTATGTTTGACATTTACTGAACGATTCGCTGTTCTCGTGCAGGTTAGAGAAAAAGACCTGTCCGTGGTCATCAGCACCCTGGAGGAGGAGTTCAACATCTACAGGGAGGTGGAAGGAGAGTCGGTCCCTGTGTGCAGTCAGGATGTTTCCAACGGCCTCCAGAAGAACGGCAAAGAAGGTGACGTTTAAATTAAATGATGATCACGTTTGCCTTCGAGGATGATGTAAATATTCCCTAGCACTATCTTTTGCTATTCTTGTTAAAAGTAGACATATTATGGTGCTTTGAGTTATTGCTGCTGTACTGTGGTGAAAATCCAAGTGTTGGACAGAGATTATATGAAAGGGTACTTTAATTTAAATTGCTTTAACTTGTCATATCCACAAACGACAGATCTGGACTGAGTTTTCTTTACGTTTATGACACAATGCGTAGAGCTGCACAGTCTTAACTTTAAAGCTTGTTGGAAATTGTGACCACATTTAGTTGTTTGTTGTGGTTTTTATTCCTTTAGCCATCCAACCTACAGTTCACCCAGTGCTGATCCCCCAGAACCAGTTCTGTGTCATGTCTCTGGACCCGGACACGCTGCCGTCCATCGCCACCACACTCATGGATGTTCTCTTTTATTCCAGCAGGTGAGACGCTGTTTGTTCACACCTGTGCAGTGCCTCTCTGTAACACAGGGCGGCAGCACAGAAGCATAAACTAACAAGATCAGCCACTCCATGGAGCTTTATGTTTTTATTTATTTGTTATTGTTTGTACTTGTGAATGAAAAACGTATTATTTTATCAGTTTTGTGTGCTTTTAAACACTGGTTAGGTTTACAACTAATGTAAAATAAACTGATTAAATGTTTCATGAAATTAAATTTTACACAGATATTTACAATAAATGTTCAATAAACTGTCAAATAAGTTGCAGTTTTAAAAATAATTTTATTTTAATCCAAAAGTAGATTAACAGTGTCCTTGTGTGTTTTATTTTTAAATAAAATAATAATAATTTTTTAAAAATTCAACATGCAGGAGAATTATTTTCATTTATGACTAAACACGTGTGTTAATTTAAAGAAATATCATTAAAAGTGGCATTGTTATTTTAAAAAATAATTTTCTGGTGCTTTGTGTTTCTTCTGTCCTGCTGAATAATAAGTAATAAGTGTTTTTGTTTTTAGTCCTAAAGAAGACAAGCAGTCGTCTCCAGACCAGGAGTTGGACTGTATTAAGTTCTTCTCGTTCTCCCTCATCGATGGATACATCTCATTGGTGATGGACACTGAGGCTCAGAGACGGTAAGGATTCATTTCAACGAAACAGCACTTGTAAAATATAAATCAATCATTTTCCACACTGATACCAAATGGAAGTACAAACCGGATTCCAAAAAAGTTGGGACACTAAACAAATTGTGAATAAAAACTGAATGCAATGATGTGGAGGTGCCAACATCTAATATTTTATTCAGAATAGAACACAAATCACAGATCAAAAGAGAGAATGTATCATTTTAAGGGAAAAATCTGTTGTTTCCAAATTTCATGGCGTCAACAAATCCCAAAACAGTTGGGACATGTCCATTTTTACCACTGTGTGGCGTCCCCCCTTCTTCTTACAACACTGAACAGACGTCTGGGGACAGAGGAGACCAGTTTCTCAAGTTTAGAAATAGGAATGCTCTCCCATTCATGTCTAATACAGGCCTCTAACTGTTCAATCGTATTGGGCCTTCTTTGTCGCACCTTCCTCTTTATGATGCGCCAAATGTTCTCTATAGGTGAAAGATCTGGACTGCAGGCTGGCCATTTCAGTACCCGGATCCTTCTCCTACGTAGCCATGATGTGATTGCTGCAGAATGTGGTCTGGCATTATCGTGTTGAAAAATGCAGGGTCTTCCCTGAAAGAGATGACGTCTAGATGGGAGCATATGTTGTTCTAGAACCTGAACATAGTTCTCTGCATTAATGGTGCCTTTCCAGACATGCAAGCTGCCCATGCCACAAGCGCTCATGCAACCCCATACCATCAGTGATGCAGGCTTCTGAACGGAGCGTTGATAACAACTTGGGGTATCCTTGTCCTCTCTGGTCCGGATGACATGGCGTCCCAGTGTTCCATAAAGAACTTCAAATCGTGACTCATCTGACCACAGAACAGTCTTCCATTTTGCCACACTCCATTTTAAATGACCCCTGGCCCAGTGCAAACGTCTGAGCTTGTGGAGCTTGCTTTAGAAATGGCTTCCTCTTTGCACTGTAGAGTTTCAGCTGGCAACAGTGGATTGTGTTCACTGACGATGCTTTCTGGAAGTATTCCTGCGCCCATTCTGTTATTTCCTTGACAGTGGCATTCCTGTTTGAGGTGCAGTGACGTTTAAGGGCCCGGAGATCACGAGCATCCAGTAGAGTTTTACGGCCTTGACCCTTACGCACAGCGATTGTTCCAGATTCTCTGAATCTTTTGATGATGTTATGCACGGTTGATGATGATAACTTAAAAGTCTTTGCTATTTTACGCTGGGTAACACCATTCTGGTATTGCTGCACTATCTTTCTGCGCAACAATGGTGGAATTGGTGATCCTCTTACCATCTTGGCTTCTGAGAGACACTGACACTCTGAGAAGCTCTTTTTATACCCAATCATGTTGTCAATTGACCTAATTAGTGTTAATTGGTCTTCCAGCTGTTCGTTATATGCTCAATTTCCTTTTTCCAGCCACTTATTGCTACTTGTCCCAACTTTTTTGGGATTTGTTGACACTGTGAAATTTTGAATCAACATATTTTTCCTTTAAAAATTTACATTTACTCAGATTAAACTTTTGATCTGTCATCTATGTTATATTACGAATAAAATATTGACATTTGCCATCTCCACATCATTGCATTCAGTTTTTATTCACAATTTGTTTAGTGTCTCAACTTTTTTGGAATCCGGTTTGTAAATGTAGTGAATATTTATTTGATGAAAACCTGCAGCAGTTACAGAGAGGCGTTCATGGTGCAACGCCTGTTAGCACTTTCTGCAGGGTTAAAATAAAATCTGTTGTTTCAGGTTTCCTGCTGATCTTCTGTTCACCAGCTCCTCTGGGGAGCTGTGGAGGATGGTTCGTATAGGAGGGCAGCCTCTGGGTTTTGGTAAGGCCACATGCTTTTATGAACCTTTTTCTGAGGTGGCTGATTGGAGAGTTCTCACTGTAACTGACCTGACCTGTGACCATATACACCATTTACCATCCTCTTTTCTTTTTTTTTTACATCATGATGTTTAAACCTAGTTGTCACCAGTGGTGGACATGGTTCCATTATTTTGCCAATAGCAAAATTAATTTTCCATTTAGCAGATTAACGTTTTTGCTCATTTTGAAATCCATTAGTGGAATTAGCTTCTGCTAAATTTAAATCCGATAAATTGAAGTCCACTATTTAAAAAAAATAAAATAAAATTATCCGCACTTAAAGTATACTGGAAAACGGTGATGTACACAAAGCAATGTTCCGCTAAGCAAAACTTAGCATCATGCGGTGATGTCGCCACCCTCGCTGTGCGTTTCCCCCCTCATATCTTAACGCAAACAGTCTCTGACTTGTGGTACCAGTTTAACAGCCAATAACAAGACTTTAACCTAAATGTCAAACCAAACCAGAACAGGAAAATAACATGAAAACCCATTTTCACTATAAGAAACATCATAAACAGAAACGGTGCACACATAATTCCTACCCAGCATGCTTTGCAATGCTCACACTGTCTCTGGGACGTGACTCTCTCACACATTTCACACATCTTTACTTTAATACAAACAAATTTAATACTGAGAGAATATTGGTGATGATGCACAGCAACTTTGTAGTTAAAGTAGTCAACCATAAAGAGGCTTGCCAAAGTGACTTAATTCATTAAAGTAAATGACACGAGGGAGACGTCCGACACACACTGAATGCATCACTCTGCTTCAGCACAGCAGAGTTCTGCTCCACCTCTTTGGTTCCAATGGACCAGATTAATTTCTGAAAGCTCACTTCTGAGTGGGCTGTAGATGCAATCACAAGTAAAGCAGTTGTTCACTTCCTTTCATCCATTATCTTTACCAGTTTCTTCCTTTTCGGGTCACGGGGGTCACTGGTGCAGAAGTCACTGTGCGAGAGGCGGGGACACTTTAGACAGGTCGCAAGTGCATCGCAGGGACACATAAAGACAAACAACCGTTCACTCTCTCACTCACACCTAGGGACAATTTAGAGTTACCAATCAGCCTAATGTGCATGTTTTTTTTTGGTCTGTGGGAGGAAACGGGAGTACCCGGAGAAAACCCACTCATGCACAGAGAGAACATGTAAACTCAACCCAGACCCCCAGCTGGGATTTGATCCGGCGACCTTCTCACTGAGAGGAACAGCTCTACCAACTGCGCCACCGTGCCACCCGGGTGTTCGCTTACGTTTTCATGTTCCAGACGGTCTTACAGCGACAGCAGTGCATGATAAAAGATTGCTCTTTAGCGTTGGCTTCCGCTATTTTGTTAAATCTGTTTTGCGGTTTAGCATTAGCTAAGCTAATTATTTTTAGTTAGTGAATTAACGTTTAGCAAAGCTAATTTTTTATTTTTGTTAGCTGTGCCCACTACTGGTTGTCACTATTAATGGCTAAAAAATATGACTTGGGTGCACATTTTACGTTGACTGTGTGCGTTACAGATTACTTATCTTTTTAATTATCATGCTGGTTTTAGGAGCCGAGAGCCACTTTTCGTGATTTTTGTGTGCATGTATAATTACAATGAAAAGAATCATGTCCTATCAAAGAAAAGAAAATGTGTAAAAGTCTAACAAATGCAAAAATGTTTAGTTTAGTTGTGTTCATCTGGACAAGTATTATGAGTGATCGGGAATAATCAGATTAATGATTGTCTTCGTTTAAGCAGGAAAAAAGTTTTATTTTCAGGTGAAGTTTAATTATTTTGTTTATTTAAAAACAGAGATGCTAAACTGAAGGCTTTATGTTGTGACTTTTTTTTTTCTAATAAAAGCGTCTGTCCTTTTATCTTGTATTTAATTCATTCCCTTCCTTTATGAATTGACTCTGATTTGTTCTGTGTTTTAGATGAATGTGGTATAGTGGCCCAGATATCTCAGCCTCTTGCCGATGGGGACATCTCTGCCTATTACATAAGCACCTTCAGCTTCGACCATGCGCTGGTGAGTCAAACAAGTTAGCATTGCTAACTAGTCAGACACCTGTTTCTATGGAATGGTAAATGTACTGTACTTGTAGAGCAACTACTACATCTCTACAAATCTAATCTGAACAAATCGTTCTATAGACACTCATCAGTGCTTTGATCACATTCCTACACCGATGGAAGCCCGATGGTTCAGTGAGTCAGTTTTTCCACTTTGTCCCAGCCTTTTAAAAATTTCCCATCGAAATCTGTGTCCATTCCACGGAGCCTTAATCATTATTCTCACAAAAAATGATTCACCAATATTTTTCGGTTGAGTTTTGTGAAAGTATCCAGTCTTGTGAGTTTCGAGATAAATGAACGTTTGTGGCTCATGTGACCATGACAATGTTTTTTTTTTTGTTTTTTTTCAGCCTTTATTCATACAGGTTAATCCCATCCCATTGAGCCCCGGGGACTCATTTACAAGAAAAATTAAAAGACCTGGTTTGAAGTGGCCAAAAATTTTTTAACCTTTAATTTATGGTGATTAAAGGGTTAATTGGCCATGGTTAAAAACAAAAAATCAAATCAGCCATGGCAAAAGAACGAAGAAGATGTTGAAGCCAAAAACTTTCCTATGTTCCTTTTTTTTAAAAGTTTTTAATGGTCACACAAAATGAAAATATCACTGACTCTTGTGTTTCAAGCCTGCCTCAGATACCAAAATGGTTTTTGAAACCATTAGTGAAAAGGCCAGACTTCAGGGGTATCTGAGGCAGGCTTGAAATACAAGAGTCAGGGTGGCTTCTGGGTAATACCAGATGGCTAGGCCTCAGACTGACGAAGCCTCTTGGATGAGGGGCGAAACGTTTCTTTTTAACAAAAAAACGAAGTCCAGATGACATGATTCAACCTTTTTTGTTGTTATATACCTGGATGACTGAGAAAACAAACTTTGTGTTTTTGAAACCAATAGTGTGCACTGTCCAGTTGTGGGACTTCTTTCCCTTGGCGCTGTAGCTCTGCCTCCATGTGTGGGAAGTTTCGCAGGTCCCTGCGTTGCAGCCGACTTGTGAGCAGTTGCAGCCTGCTTTTGAAGGTGCTCACAGAACTGATCATGTGGATTATGTTTTTGTCCTTTCCCTGAAGCTCCAAATTCAGTTCATTGAGCAGGCTGGTGAGATCTGTGAGGAAGGCTAAATCCAAAAGCCACTGGGTGTCCTCTAGTTTTGAATGTTCACCATGATCTGACAGCTTCAGAAAATCCCTGATCTCAGGCAACAGCTCACTGAATCTGTCCAGAAATTTACCTCTGCTTAGCCACCTGACGTCCATGTGCAGCAGCAGGTCTGTGTGGTCTGCTCCTGCCTCCTCCAAGTGAGCCCGGAACAACCTCCTCTGCAGACTCCTGGCCCTTATAGAGCACACAGTTTTCATGGCAACATCCATCACTTCCTTCATGTTTAAAGCCTTCCCACACAGGGCCTGTTGGTGGATGATGCAGTGATAGTGCAAAATGTCTGGGAAAGCATCATTCTGCTTGCAGAGTGCAACAAATCCACTGGTGTGACCAGTCATTGCTGGAGCGCCATCAGTTGTTATAGAAATTAGTTTAAAGAGGGGCAAGTTGCTTTTATTAACAAACTCCATAAACACATTAAAAATATCTTCTCCTCTTGTATGTCCCTTCAAAGGCAAGATGGTGAGCAGCTCCTCTTTTGCACTCATGTCTGCAAAGGCCATTCTGATAAAAACACACAGCTGGGCTACATCCACCATGTCTGTCGACTCATCAAACTGAAGAGAGAAACACTCACATTGTTCCACGTCCTTTTTTAGCTGCTCCTCCACATCCACAGCCATTCCCTCACATCGCCGTGTCACTGTTTGTCTGGACAACTGCACGTCTTTAATAGCAGCTACGATCTCACTTTTATTTTTAAAATCATGAAAAAGCGCATCTGCAGCCTCAATAAACGCTTCTTTCATAACTTGTCCATCGCTGAAAGACTTCTTATGTTGAGCCAGGATGCGGCTAACACGGTAGGAAGCTATCGTAGCAGCTTTACCTTTTGTGCTGGGGCGAGTGAAGACTGACTGCTGGGCTGCAAGCTTGTTTTTTTAGCTCCCGCACTTTCTGAGTCCGTAAAGAACTTTTAAGAGGGAAATCTGTCTCAAACCGTTTGTGCATCGTCTTGAAATGCCGCTCCAAGTTACACTTTTTGGGTAAGGCAACGCTCGAATTACAGATGAGGCAAATAGACTTCGAATTAGAATAAACAAAAAAATACTCCTCCTCCCACTCTGTGTGAAAATGATAAGTTTTCGTTTGCTTGTTCGCTAGTTTTCCTTCCATGTTTTCTGCGCACCGACATTACTCCACTACTGAGCCTAAAGTCTCGTGAGAGCTGTGTCACCGCACACAAAACTCGCGAGACTATGTCTGTGAGAATACAAGTCAAGGCTTCGCTTCGCCAGTCGCCCGTGAGCGACTGGTTGGGCACACCAGGGTTAAAGGCCTGGCGTTCTTTGAAGGATGTGTTTCGCCCACTGCCTTTCATGCCAGAGTTTCACACTCAAATCATTTGAAGGGAGAGAGTTATCATCTCTAAGGTCAAACCTTAATGTGTAACCTAATGAGATACGGGAAGATCTTACACCATGTGTTAACTCTCAGAGAATGTGTTAGGGATGAATCTCATCTATGTAGTGAGTCACGTTGGTACGTGCCACTAGTTGTATGACAAATATATGTGGTATATATTTATGCATACTTTTCACGAGTTCCTCATCTTTCTGACTGTGTAATGTCGTGTATTGAATTCAACAGAAATGTAACGAGAGACGTTATTTACCTTTGACCCATCAAAATGAATGGAGTCATTTATTTTCAGAATCAAAGTTTAACATCAAACATTTACATTAATTTGGCAAAATATGAAAATAATAACAGACAAGTTTCACAGAAAATGAGCATCGATCACTCGGCGGTGAACGAGGACTTTGCTTCAGATATTTCTAAAATATCTGTACTGGTTTTGTGAGAGAGAGAAGAGTTTAAGATGAAATGGAGATTTTCTTACAGAGAACTATGTGAGGGAATTAATATCTGTTGACCAGAACGTGCACGCTTCATCAGATCTCAGCTCGCCTCCGGTACACTTTAGTCGAAGAAGAGACCGTTACCTGGTGATGATAGATCAGCTCGATAGAGAATCCTCCAGACCTTTCAGCGTCTCCGTTGAGAGCTGCTGAAATCCTTAGATAGTCGTGCGTGGGTTGTTCAAACAGAAGTTATAATTCCAAACGTCTCTGACTCTCCTGAATTCTCGAATTCTCTTCCATTCACTTCACCATTCTCCATGAATTCCCCATGAATTCTAACCAATTCTCTCCAGAACTCCTTGAGAACTCCTTGAGAACTCCTTGAGAACTAACTTGAACTGGAAAGTTGCCACATTTTAAATGGGTCGACTTCCGGTTCAATTTAGAGCTTTCTGATTCGTGGATGTACCAGAAAGAGGTGTGGTTTTTGACGTAAGGTATTTTCAAAAGTCGAGGTCAGGGAATGAGATTTGTTTAACAACTGACAGAGAGATTATTGCAGAAAAGCAGACTTTTTGGAGCCTCACTCTGTTGTATCTTTCCAAATAGTAAAACATGACATCCCTTTTTCAGTAAACATTTAGTTGACCGAAGCTTCAACTTTCACATACTTACGACTTGGCTCATTTCAGACAGAAAATCAAGAAATGCATATTAACCTGATTTCTTCTTTGAATGAGGAATAAAAATCATTACTTACTGTTTATGTAAAATAAAAATGAGTAGTTCTTTTCAACCTGTAAGCATTGAGTGAAACTAACACAATTTGATTATCAAACATTTGTAAGACAGTAATGATTATAAAGAATTGTCTTTTCTGCTTGATTAATTCAAGAAAGAAAGTCATCAGATGGCTCAGACTTATTCAGATCAATGAAAATAACAGTCTCTGTCCATCTGGTAGATTTGAGGTCATCAGGGTCAGATAAGGGTCAGATCAGGTTCACTACATCTACTACCACACTGACACCAACTCGGTATCTGTAAAACTGAAGGCCTTCTTCTCATTTTTGTGTTGAAAGATTGAAAGAGCTGTGATGTCATCACTGTCTGTACAATGATGACATCACAGCTCTGCATTCAACCCATCACACGTGAGATACACGCATGTGGAACAGCGGGCAGCTATGTTGGTGCCCGCCGCCCAGGGAGCAGTTAAAGATTTAGTGTCTTGCTTAAGGATGTTGCGACATGTGGGCATGCCGGGGAGTTAAACCTACAACTTTCTGCTCCCAAGTTGGCTGCGTTACCACTGTACCACAGCCACCCGGTGCAGCTGGCTATGGCCACTTAACGATTGTGCCATCTTGAACTGGGTTGACCCCAGATAATTGAGCTGTAGATGTACGATTACTTTTTGAGGCTTTGACTAAATTCTATCCAGGGATTCACGAGATATTTTGCTAACAATCAATGTTGATGCCAACATTTTTCTTTGTTTGTGTGTGTGTCTTTTGTAAGGTCACCTAGCTAGGCGGCCATCTTGAACGGGGTTGACTCTTAAGTTTTATTGTTTCATTAAAATCCGTTCACTGCTTCATGAGATAATTTGCTACAAAGAAACAGACAAAAGGAATATCAGTGCTTGGCCTTCGATGACGGGCAATTTGTGTGCAAAACACTTGAGCGTAAGTTTTCTTAGCCTTGTGTTCCTATTGATTAACTAATTGGTTATTGACCAATAATCAGCAGTTATCTTTATTAAAACAGGTGATTTAACAGTTTGTTGGTTCCCGAGTTCCTTTAAAAATTGTGAAAGTATTTCCTTTCCTCCCTCAGACATCTTAGACAACTTCAAGTTAATATTTCTATGAATCACTGAATCACGAGGTATACTTGTTTTTTTTCCACACACTACTTTTTCTTTTACGCTTATTCATTCTTTTTTTTTTCCTGTTCCCTCATTTCAACACCAATAACCAGATCATTTTTCTTGCGTATGAATTTTTGAAGATGTACTTATAACCCAGTAATGTAGAAAAAACTCTGTTCACACCTTGTCTGAAACTCTCCTCTCTGTGGTTTCCTGATGTCATCATGACTGATTATCTTCTCATCTAGCATCTAGGTTTTTAAAATAAGTTTGTGTGCTCACATTAAAGTGAACTTCTACCAACTTCATTATGAAACTTTTCCAAAAATCTAGTCGTGCACATGGATCCTCTAACCTGTCGTAAAATGCAGCGTATACATTTGGGAAATAAACAATATTCTGTTGGATAATTTTAAGTTTAGTGTGTATTTAGGTGGCACTAACACAGGAAATACGTTTTACATTCAGTCAGAAACAATAACATAAATTATTCAGTCAGTTCCTCTACAGTTCTACATTTTTTTTGTTTTGTTTTTTCTTTGAATGTCCAGCGGACCAGATTGAACTTATTTGGATTTTTCTACCTGGATTATTGAGCATGCATCAGGATATTCAGTCAGTTGTGGTTCAAGTTTGAAACTGTTGTTTAAGTTGCGTTTACATCTTGACTTCCTGCTCATGATCACGATTCACTGGAGCTTAGAGTTTCTCTGTGACAAAACGAGTGAAAAACAACCCGTCAGCTTCCTTTCACAAAAAATACTGCCTTTTTCACAAACACTGATTTTTAAAGCTCAGAATAAAAACCTAAAAGCAACAAAACAACAACCATTTAAAGCCAAACTTGCTTGTGACAAGTAAACACCACACCATAAATAATTATTTTTTCTACTGTATTTTATGAGAGAACATTTTAATGTTCATAATAACGGTTAATTTTTCAGTAAAGAGTGAACATAATCAAATGTGAACCTCGTGATTTTGGCTCTGCGTGTTTTTTTTTTTTGTTTTTGTTTTTTTTATGCATTTATTCATCCTTTCCATGTATAAAGACATTGGTGCCAAGTATAAATCTCCTTTCCATATTTTCTCTGTGCTGCTCAGTGCGTCATTGATTTGTACTTCATTATTGTCAGTGTCATGATATCTGAACATCGAAAACTACTTTGGGTTGGAAAATAGAGAAAACTAGCTGTGACACGGCAGTGGATTCTACTTTTAGACTTCTGAGAATTTAACCAAGATTATTTGTTAAATGCAATCTGGACAGCTCATCGCCGCTTCGCCCATAGCGAGAAATATTGGGGTGGGGGGGTGAAGCTTTGAACTAGGAGTCAAAAAAAATAAAAACTCGAAGTTATTTTTATTCAATATACCCTAGACTTCTACCTTGTTCCAGTATATTGATGATGGTATTTTTGTCATGGATTTTTTGTTTCTAAGTATAATTTGTTAATTTTTTTTAGTAAATTCACACAGGACTTTTTTTTTTTTCAAAAAAGAAAGAAGAAAACAAAAGCAATAAGAGTCACAGAACTAAAATAACGGGAGTGATGGGGATTTCTCTAAATCTGAATACATAAGTCACATCTTGCAGCTAAATTAAGAAAATGTGCAAATGGGAGGACGTCTAGCTCATAGTAAAGTGAATGAATCTAAATCATTTTCTTAAAATGCAGGAGGAACTAAAAAAATGCTTTCACTGAGATTTTGTCAGCTAACCCACAATAATCACTGTTTAATTTTTTTTAACCATTTGGCTAAACTTTTTTTATTTTTTTATTTGTTGCATTTCTTTTCTGCTACAAAAATATTCAATGGTCCACAGTATGACGGAGCTTTAGGGCCACGCTAAAAAAACAAACATTATGAATGGTGATAAAGTCATAATGTTACAAGAATAAACTCGAAATAATATGATAATAAACTCATAGTATTACGAGAATAAAGTAGAAACAATACAGAATCAGGATGCTTTTATTATCCTTGCACAATTAAGTACAACAACAAAATTGCTTTCCGTACAGCTGTCCTAAAGATGGACAGAAGTGGACAGGGGGCTGCAGCTTCTAAGTTGCTGTTAGTTGTTGTTCCTGTTGCTTGGATAAGTAAGGGAAGAAAACATAAGGAGAGAGGTTTATAAAAAAGATATCTCGCACCGTGTCCTTGACAGGGCACAGTTTAGGCATCAAAAAAATCTACCACAGCAAAGCAACATAAATAGACTAAATACATATGCGTGTGAAGTAGGTAGGGGCCGGGGACCCCAGCACGGCCACCAGGTGAGCGATGCAGCCCTTGGTGCCTTCGCATCTCTTAGATTGCTGCGCCAGGGAGGCCAGTTTTAGGGAAGGTCGTAGCACAGCCCACAGCCATAGTCCTGATAAGAGGTGTTTGTTTATCAGCCAGTTCAGTTGAGCTCTGTCGCAGGCCCATGACCTTGGGGAAGGGAGGGGATGGGGAGGGGGGGCAGAGCGTCTTTTTTTTTCCATAGCATCCAAGGAAATTTGGAACGTATGCAAAAAATGGGCTCTGAAAAAGGTTCACAAGACAAAAGAGCAAAGCAGGGACGGCTCAGAGGAGGACACGTCTGCCTTCCACCGAGAACAAGCAAGAAAAAAAAAAACAAGACTAATGTCATATTATGAAAATAAACTCATAATATTACAGAATAAAGTTGTAATATTATCAGAACTCGGACACAAAAAAGCAGTCTTACAACTGTGGTAAAATGAATGTTGACGTCAACAGTACAATAGCAGGGGGCTCAACGCACTGTCATATGGATTATTATGATAAACTGAAGCCATATTGCATTGCAATTAATGGCTGCATTGACGGATTTAGTTATCACAATATGGATGGAGGCCTATTTCACAAATAGTGACCCAACAGTGATTGCAGACTACTTCATAAGCACAGTGACTCGCATTGGAGGCTGTTCACAGCAGGTGCGAGCCTATAGAGCTGTCATTTCTAACCCGGAGCCCGGACTCGCTCGACCTGGATTCGGGCCAGGCTATAATAGTTTGCTTAATGTGCAGACCAGGTCAGTGTCGGGCTTTTAATTGCATCAACGGACGCGCACGGCCGACAATCCAACTAAATGCCAACATGCCTTGCCATACAATCACCAGCCACACGTGGCCATTTGACCATGCGCTGACCGGCCTTGAAAGAGGTAAAAAGTTCAGTTAAGCTTCAGATGGACTACTGCCAGCCATCCATCAACCCAAATGGACGTTCATTCAGCCGTGGCTCTCAGCAGATGCGCGCGGCTGACAACCCCAACAGGTGAGATCACAAAATAGCCAACATGTCAGAGCAGGGTCCAATGCAGGCCGAAGCAGGGGAAGCATTTAATGCGCTTTGATGGCTCCTCAGCTCCGATTGTCTGCCCCCTTTACTCTTACCCTTTATTTTTTATTTTTTTGCCTGGAACTAATGCTCCGTCGTGGACCAGGTTAGGAAAGAGAAAAATTGCCACTTCTGATCAGAACAATAGAGTCCAAACACTGATCTGAGCCTTCAGAACTCAAATATGTTGTGAAAAAGAAAAATCAATTCAAATGTATTTCTTGCTTTGGCAATTGATGATATTGTTTTTTCTAAATATGTAGTTTTAGTCAAATAATTTTCTTCTTCTCGAGTTTATTATTGTTCAGCTGAGTTTGGTTTTTGTTTGAGTTTGAAAATCATCGTACTTGTTTCCACTTGCTGTAAATATTTTTTTTTACTGATAAAACTACATTACACTATCAAATATAATCTAAAGCAGAACAGGAAGGAGTGGCTTCCAGATTCTTATTACTTACAGACAGGTAAAGTTGTTTGTACCTTTACAGCTAATTAAAAGCTATTCTTTACTTCTTTTGAAAAGTGATTCAATTAAAAGCAGTTGTCTACAGCTGCATTTCTTCAGTATAGGATAAAGTAAATGACAAAATTCTGTAAAGAAAAGATGTTTGTTTTACAAAACATGCTAAAGTAGTATACAAACAGACTCGTTGGTAGACTAATTAATAATTCTTTAAATTATTCTTGCATTAAAGTTAAGTTTTAAAGCAAGTGTTTGATTTTAATTAGTGCCACAAGTATCTTATTGCAATCATCCAGCCCATTTTAAATGAACAAACAACCACTAGGTAGAATTGTTGTGTGACCACACTGAACCTGGAGGAGATACAGCAAAGGCGAGAGCTGTTTGAGGAGCTCAGAAAGAAGATTAAAGATATATTTCTTAAAGGTAAAGACTATATGATTTTCTCCAAGCAGATTTGTGTTATACTCTGACCATAAATGACAATATTATTAAAAAGTATAGGGTTCATGAAACTGTAACCAACCTCCCCAGACGTGGATGCAAGGGAAAATGCAACCCCAGGTTGATCAGATAGACGGTGCAAATTACAAAACGGAGCCAAGAAAACCACCCAAAACTATTCAATATGATTGTCAAGGTCAAAATACTTTAGGATCACACCATCTGTTGCATTTTGAACTACGATGGGCTCCATGTAGGAAAACTTGGGAAGACTTTACCACTGGTAAACCAGCTGGACAGGAATTCACCGAATGGCACGTTGATGTTAAGATTTGTGACGTTGACGGTTTTGGGACCGATGAAACAAAACTGGAGCTTTATGGTTTCAGTCGCATTAGTTATTTGAATACTGTGAAGGGGTACCAACAAATTCATCAACATTTTGTTCATGTTATTAGCTTTAGCTATTAGCATACAATAAGTGCTAATGGTGTTCAAGTTGAAAGTATCTTCAAAGTTTATTAATGAGCATCTGTTGCTATGTATTCATCATAGGTTTAACAAAATGAAACACTGAGATTTATGGGATTTGAAAATTTGATTAATTCAGCTGACACAATAAACAAGATGCAATATACTTATTTTGTAAATCTAATAGGAGTCCTCTACTCTTTTGTTGCAGGTCCCTGAGGAGGACATCGTGAGTGTGATGGAAATGCTCCAGCATCAAAGGAAAGAAGCAGCCACCAGCTGATTTGTGAGCTGGATGATCCCAGCTCCAAGTGTTTCACCTTGTTCTCATTTTCTGGAACAGCAGTAGTAGCAGGCTAGCAGGAAAAGAGGCTAACCCTGTGCCTAGTTTAGCTCTGCTTAGCCAACAGTATTAACCACTACAAGTTTGCCATGAACACCAAAAGCATTCCTTTATGGTGTGTGTGCACAGTTTTTCCTCAAGGCCTTCTGTCTTACCTAAACTACGAGCTACTGGAACCCTAGAAGCACAAGCGTATGCATTTCATTGTGGACATTTATTTTTATACCCATATGAAGACAAACAAAATGTACTTACCCTTTCACATTAACAAATAGGATGTTGTGTACTAAAACTTTTATCCTCAATTTATAACAATAATGTTTCTTTTTGTTCACTTCAGGTTACTCTCAAATACTCATGGTGAGTCCTAAGTTAAAAAATAACAAATTTTTGTCTTCCAACAATGTTCATATCAAAATGTGGCCTTAAACAATGAGACAAATGCTGGGATTTCATTTTATTTGAGAAACCTTAAAACTTTTCTCCCCTTTAAATGTTTCATATTTTATACCTGGTTTTGTTTAGTTATCCAGCCCATATGTCATATTTTATTTATAACAAATTCATATCCGCCCTTTGATCTTTGTAGAATCTGATTGCAGCAGAAATCATTGTAGATGCGAAAAATGTTAAATGAGAAAAAAAAAAACTGCAACTTAAGTTTACTTTTCTAAATCCGCTGTAAAAACAAATGTCGTGTTTTTGTCTTGTTGCAACATAATCTTAGACAGAATCTGACAAAGCAGTGACAAAGCTAATTATTTAGAAGATTATTTTGACAAGTACATTAGTCATTTCATGGAAAATTATATAAAAAAGGTCACTTTATTTTGGGAGTCTTGAGTTGTAAAGAGTTGTGTAATGTCTTCCTAGGCCTCCCCAAAGTTTTATGTGTTTTAAACAAATGTAACCACAAAGAGGACTCGTCCAGTTGTGTATAAGACTTTTTTTAAGAATTGCAGCATTTTTCTCATTAACAAGTCACTCCTAAGGCATGTAAGCAACAACCTGTGCTTTTTGATTTGAAAGAAATTTGAATATTTATTTTTAACATCAAAGCTCACTTAGTTTAGCATGGATGGAATGTGCAGATTAAAACTGAGGTCAACATTTATTTTATTTTTTTACTCAGCATTATCTGAAGTAGCACTGACTTGGTTTTTGCTGTTTGCACAATAAACTTTTTTGATTTAGTGAATTTCACTTAGATGTTTTTTTTTTCCTGTTACGGCCACTTTTTATACAATTTGAAGTATTTGAACATCTGTAATTTTTGTGCTCCTTCATTAAATAAAAAAAAACATTGTGTAATGAGCAATTTCTTAAGTAAAATTTAGGTTTCGAGGCTCAGAATATTGACTGGTAGAATTGTGCCATTGAGCTCTGATTTAAATGGAATACAGTCGTTTAGTTTTAATCCGAAACGTCAAATGTTTCTTCATCCTAGCATGATTGGATGAAAATAAAAAGAACAAAACAAGCTTTGCTCCTTTTGTATTTCATGTATGAAATCATAGTATGATAAATGGACTGTACTTACTGTATAGCACCTTTCTAGTCAAGATACTCAAAGCTCTTTACAATACAATCTGTGCCCTCATTTACCCATTCATACAGCCGTCTACTGGATCTATACAAAGACTAATCAGTGCTTTATCACATTCATTCACCAATGGGAAACACATCGGAGACTATGAGGAGTTCAGTGTCTTTCCCAGGGACACTTGGGCATGTCACTGCTGGTGGAATCGAACCCCCAACTCCTGCATTGGAGGACAACTTCTCTAGCCACTCAGCCACAGCTGCCTGCTCAATAGTTGCAATTAAATGTTGCATGTATGAAAAATAAATTCACCAAACTAAGGATCTTATAAAGAGAATCATGGAAGAGGCTAAAAAAAAGGTAACCAGTAAACATACTTGTGGTACGCCAAGAAATGAGCTCTTAATCTGTTGGGTAAGATTTTATTTATTTATTTATTTTTATTAAATGCATGACGAAACATACCATTGTACTCTTTTAAAGTAATCTTCAGCTATTTCCTCTGACATTATTTCAACCAAAATGTAAGAGGAGTGTTCAAGACCACTTTTCAAAATGGACTCTTTAGAAGTACAAACCGGATTCCAAAAAAGTTGGGACACTAAACAAATTGTGAATAAAAACTGAATGCAATGATGTGGCGATGGCAAATGTCAATATTTTATTCGTAATATAACATAGATGACAGATCAAAAGTTTAATCTGAGTAAATGTAAAATTTTAAAGGAAAAATATGTTGATTCAAAATTTCACAGTGTCAACAAATCCCAAAAAAGTTGGGACAAGTAGCAATAAGTGGCTGGAAAAAGGAAATTGAGCATATAACGAACAGCTGGAAGACCAATTAACACTAATTAGGTCAATTGACAACATGATTGGGTATAAAAAGAGCTTCTCAGAGTGTCAGTTTCTCTCAGAAGCCAATATGGTAAGAGGATCACCAATTCCACCATTGTTGCGCAGAAAGATAGTGCAGCAATACCAGAATGGTGTTACCCAGCGTAAAATAGCAAAGACTTTTAAGTTATCATCATCAACCGTACATAACGTCATCAAAAGATTCAGAGAATCTGGAACAATTGCTGTGCGCAAGGGTCAAGGCCGTAAAACTCTATTGGATGCTCGTGATCTCCGGCCCCTTAAACGTCACTGCACCTCAAACAGGAATGCCACTGTCAAGGAAATAACAGAATGGGCTCAGGAATACTTCCAGAAAGCATTGTCAGTGAACACAATCCACCGTGCCATCCGCCGTTGCCAGCTGAAACTCTACAGTGCAAAGAGGAAGCCATTTCTAAGCAAGCTCCACAAGCTCAGACGTTTGCACTGGGCCAGGGGTCATTTAAAATGGAGTGTGACAAAATGGAAGACTGTTCTGTGGTCAGATGAGTCTCGATTTGAAGTTCTTTATGGAACACTAGGACGCCATGTCATCCGGACCAGAGAGGACAAGGATAGCCCAAGTTGTTATCAACGCTCCGTTCAGAAGCCTGCATCACTGATGGTATGGGGTTGCATGAGCGCTTGTGGCATGGGCAGCTTGCATGTCTGGAAAGGCACCATTAATGCAGAGAACTATGTTCAGGTTCTAGAACAACATATGCTCCCATCTAGACGTCATCTCTTTCAGGGAAGACCCTGCATTTTTCAACACAATAATGCCAGACCACATTCTGCAGCAATCACAACATCATGGCTACGTAGGAGAAGGATCCTGGTACTGAAATGGCCAGCCTGCAGTCCAGATCTTTCACCTATAGAAAACATTTGGCGCATCATAAAGAGGAAGGTGCGACAAAGAAGGCCCAAGACGATTGAACAGTTAGAGGCCTGTATTAGATATGAATGGGAGAGCATTCCTATTTCTAAACTTGAGAAACTGGTCTCTGTCCCCAGACGTCTGTTGAGTGTTGTAAGAAGAAGGGGGGATGCCACACAGTGGTAAAAATGGACTTGTCCCAACTTTTTTGGGATTTGTTGACACCATGAAATTTGGAAACAACAGATTTTTCCCTTAAAATGATACATTCTCTCAGTTTAAACTTTTGATCTGTGATTTGTGTTCTATTCTGATTAAAATATTAGATGTTGGCACCTCCACATCATTGCATTCCGTTTTTATTCCCAATTTGTTTAGTGTCCCAACTTTTTTGGAATCCGGTTTGTAAAATGGAACAGCAAGGGGAGGCTTAAAACTTTTGCACATCGCTGTTTACGCACATCTTGACACTGACGTGTTTTAAGTTTTCACACTAACAAAAATGTGTACTGAATGAAAAAAAAATCATCAGAAGACATCAAAGTTTTTACTCCCACCTCTTACACACCCGTTAAAAAAAAAATACAAGTTTGTCATGGGTGAGGTGTGTCAAAGGGGGTGGGGTGGGGTGTAGATGACACTTATATAGCTGGACGTAGTTATACCAGAGCACTTGTCACAATGGATCGTGAACTCCACGCACAGCTAAAGAACTCTGGTAAGTATATTTTTTTAAATAATAAATATTCTCTATGGATCTAAAAGTACTGTCATGTCGTACGACCATCAATGATGAAGCAATTTTATTTCCTAAACCAATTTTAATAGAAGAAAGTTTTATTACTGCTTACATATGTAGGTTTCTAGAGTTTTTAAAATGAATCATGATTATTTTTAGCTTGACCAATATTTTATCTTTTGGGTGATGTGTTATTGCAGCCATACTTTATATATATATATATATTTATATACACACTTTATTTGGGGACCCTAATTCTGTTTTTTTTTTGTTCTTTTTTTTTTCATAGTTGTAAATTTGCGGTTTTCAGTCCGTTTTGATTTAATTTACACGTTGTGAGTGTTCTCTTTGTTTGTGGAGGATTAATTACCCCTACAATACCAGATGCCACCTAATGCATCAAACATCAGTTCAGGGGTCTGTCTGCTCAAATCTTTGACCTCTGGACATTTTCACTACAGTCCCTCTCCATTGAATCAGTGTTGAGGTGAAATAACATGACTGGGAAAAACTCAAAACACATCAATATTTTAATAATCTTAGTGAGTTAAGTTTATAATGTTGCAGAATAAGTTTAGATGCGTTTGCCCGTTTAAAAGTGATGGTCCACATAACATGTCCTGCTTTTTCCTCAGTACTTGTCTTGATGGTCTCGCTGGTTTGGCCAAGTCTTGTGCTTCCCACTCCGATTCATGACATATGCTGCACTGAAAAAAAACTAATACTAGAGCAGGTGACGGGCCAGCTGCAACATGAAGCAACCATTCTACTGAAGAAATATGTAAGTACCACCCATTGTCTGTGCTTTTTGTACATGCAAGCAGAAGTGGCTGTAAATATATATAAAACATTTTTTTTTTATTATTGCTAAACTACTTCTAAATCACCAAAGAACTACATTTTTTACAAGACTAGATGACTGAGAATCTTCATCAGCGTACAGCAGTGAAGGCTACTTATGAGATAGATCTGGTTGGCAAGCCGCAGACTGATGAAGTCTTCTGGATGGAAGATGAACTGTTCCAGATGACATGATTTAAATTTTATTGTTAACAAAAAAAAACTCTTTTCCTCATTTGTTTTTATAAACGTAAAATAATATTTTCCAGTCACTCCTTTGAAATGCTGTTAGGTTTTGCACGGGGGCAACACAAATGACTTATCCCAGCATTATCTTTAACTTCATTTATTTTCAGTTATTCTTAGAGAAGCCTACCAACTTGTACCGATTCAACACAGACAGTACGACACTGAAAAAGTATAAAATTATAGAACTGTGCGATTGCCAGGTTTGAGACTTAAAGCTTTGTTAAAAACACATCAGGAGAGCGGCTACGTTTCAGGCGCAAACGTTTTCTGCAATGACAACAATCCAGCAGCTGTGCGATTAGTCAGAGTCAGAGTTTCTTGATTGTCATTCGCACCTCATGTGGTACATGTGGTGGAGCGAAATTATGTACACAAGGTCCCAGTTACATCCAACAATAAAATGTATAAGAAAAACAGTAATAACATCTAAGATATGAACTAAGAAAAACATCAACTAAATATACACTAAGCACTCATAACATAAAAACATTGAACATCAGCACAAACATGAACATGATTAGATCTTCAAACTCACAATTTCTTGCGCAAATAAAACTGATGCCAAAAAAGCGCAACACTGTGACATTTCTGTAGGACCAGTTCTGGTGAGCCTGTAGTCGTGCATCGTACCATGTGCCATTAGGGCAGTTGTTTTACTAAATGAACACAGTGTTAGTGTTATTAGGAAATTTGACTAAACTTTGATATTGTACATTTAAAAACCATAAAATAAATTAAACTAAACTAAACATCTTGTCACAACTAGACTATAATTTACATGTGCTTTGAAGAAAAGCAGCCTGATTATGTCGTATTACAGTTATTGTCTAATACCGACTAAACGATACTGATTTTTTTTTTCTGTTAATTTCATTTGACACAGGAAGTGGTTCACAACATCCACAGTACGTCAGTTCCAGATGATGTCCCCAGCTCCACAATAACCGGCATCAACTTTGCTGAGAAGCTGCGAGACATCTATATTAAGAACCAGCTTTTTAAGTTGCATCTTTCACAAGTAGAGAAATACCAGAAGGATCTTCTGCCCGACCCACTAAAACATTTAAATATATTAGCACTCAAGGAACGACTCGCTCACCATTTTCTTGCCATAAAGGCTTATCTCATCTGCATCGACCCACAGACGCCCGAGCCGACGTCACCGCCTGGCCTGCCTGAGAAAAGAAAAGGTGACTATCTGAAGAAAGTCTACAGCTGGGGAGTCCTTCTCAGGCTGAGAGAGTGGACTAATGAAGTTCTGAATGTGCCAAATGACAAAACGCCTTTTGTGAGCACTTTTCCAAAGCTTGTTGGGCCGAACTTTAACAAACTTAAAAGACATGGGAAACCACAAAATACGATTGTATCGACCACACGGCATCAAAATACAGTAGTCCCAACCATCTAAGATAAAATAGAAATGTATTGATCTATGAGTCCATCCATCCATTATCTTTACTCGCTAATTCCTTTTTGTCTTGTGGCGGTCCTTGTGCGAGAGGCGGGGGACTGGACAAGCCTCCAGTCCATCACAGGGACACATGGAGACAAACAACCATTCACTCTCTCGCTCTCACCTAGGGACAATTTAGAGTTACCAATCTGTCTAACATGCATGTTTTTGGTCTGTGGGAGGAAACTGGAGTACCGGGAGAAAACCCACGCATGCACGGAGAGAACATACAAACTCCACCTAGAAAGGTCCCCAGCCGGGATTTGATCCAGCAACCTTTTTGCTGAGAGGCAATTGTTCTACTAAATGAGCCACCGTGCCACTAGTAGAATCGGATCAAATTGATCTATTCAATTTTTTTTCATAAAACCGTAATGTGCTTTTAAAAAAGAATCTCTTTCGGCTGCTCCCTTCTTCAGGGGGTCGCCACAGCGAGCAAACTCGCATGAAATATTTGGCAAGTTGTTTTACGCCGGATTCCCTTCCTGATGCAACCTAGATTTGAACCCTCGACCTCAAGATTACAAGACAACAGCACTGACCACCAAGCTACCGCAGCCCTTATTTGAAGTAATTCTACTTATTTAGATTTGTTTATTAAAATGTCTATTTAATGTGATTATATTATTTATGGCTAAATATGTGTTTCAAAGTACAACTGTATTTAATAAATCTGTATTTATTCAAAATATGACTGACACTTTATTATTTGTTTCATCGTACACACTAAAAACCTCTGGGTTGAAAACAACCACTTATTGAAACAGCACTGAGTTAACTTTAGACGACCCAGGCAAATTATTTAACGTAACAGTAAAGTTTTCTATCCAAAAAATGGGTTAAAATATGTAAATTATAGCAGCTAGTAAGTTGTTTGCAAAAACAACCCAACTGCCTAGATCATTACAACCTGTGCTAATCACCATGACCATCTAATACTTTATTTTATCTGACCATCTAGTTCAAACTGGTTACCAAAGCCAAGCAGAGTAAACATTTTCTTACAAGTTGTTTTTTCTTCTTTCATTCTAACGCTGGTTCAGTCAGGTTAGAGTCGGTCAAAATAAATCTAAATAACCAGCAGATTTTTGTGTGTGTGACTCAAACTCTTGGTTTTCAGTGGATTCATGAGTATTTTGTTTACGAGGAGTGTGGATTCCCTTTGACATTTCTGGAGAACCACTGTAGTAAACGCTTTTTTAAAACCTGCACCGTTTAATGTAGCTCAGAAGAACTGCAGCTGCTTCATGCCCATCTGCTCACAACAGGCTCATGTTCAGGCTGCTGTTTAATACATCATGTTGTATTACTGTTTCTACCGTTTCTTTTTTCAAACTTTTTTTTTTTGTTGCTATTTTTGGCTGTAACTGGTACCTTGAATACACAATTTAGTTCCACCTCATGTACCACATGTGATGTGAATGACAATAAAGAACCTTGAACCTTTATGTACGTTTCATTTCATACTCTGCGGTCTTTAATTGAGACGGAACAAAAATAGAATTGTGACGTGAGCAGAGAAGGTTAAAAATGTCAAGATGCTAATAGAGTTTTGGGAATTATAGTTCCCTCCAAGACATGATGTAAAGATAGTTAACCTTTGTCTGATGTCATTAGAAAGTTTGGTTCAGTTTTCATGAAGGTTGTCTGGACTGAAACTGTAAACCAGGGCTTCAACTGGTGGCCCGGGGGCCAAATCAGGCCCATGGATGAACTCTGTTCGGCCCACTAATGGGTTCGTTTTATATAAAACTAGATTTTAAACCATAAAACAACTTACTTAATGAGAATAACGGCTGGACGTCCGTCCCCTGAGCTCTTGGCTTTCAGTAACTGTGGCCCCCTGAGTAATTTGGTTAAATAGCCCTGCTGTAAACCGTGGCGACGGCAACGTTCTCATTTAGATAATTGCAGGAGTAAGAGTTATTTAAAACTGATTCTTTCATTCTAATAGCTCCGTGTAGAAACAGAGTTTTTGAAAGGATAAAAAAAGTGTATTATGATGTAAGATATGCACAGCAAGCTTGGATTTTAACCTGGTTTCCTCACATTAAAGCGGCATTTGTACACTTCCGTCCACCAGTTCTGTATTTAAATTGTCTGTTAACTTTACAGAAGTGTTCCTCTGTGATGCTGCTGTGGATCGTCTGCTCAATCAGCGATGAGTGACAACAGGTTTGCATGATTTCGTCCACTACAGTGAAGAAACTGGATGCCGTCACGTGGGAGAATGTGTTGGAACTTTTCAACAATAAATCATGTTCTGTCAAACGGAAGCAGTTTCGGATGCGTGTGTTCCTATTGTTGAACTTATGAGGTGATATTTTTAGATGCAAGTCATAATTGTTTTAATAATATTTTAGTTGGGGTGTCTGGTATATGTTTGGCCCGCCCCATGCTTACCTGAGCAGGTGGTATGTTCCAGTTAGGTGAGACTGTAAGAACTGCTTGCTGCACACTTTACAGCGGCAGCAAGTTTTATTTAAACCTCTTTTTCTTATTTCCCTCAGTTTATTTATTTTAATTGTGCTTTTTTTTTTGTAATTAATACTAACAAGGCAAGTTAGCATTTTTGAATAAATAACCACAATACCAACCTTTAAACGTTCAGATTCTGTACAATCTCCTGCAACATTTTGCTTTTATTTTCATCAAATGAGCTGAAGGCTTTCAATAAAAAGTTGTTTTACTCAGGTGCGCAGAGAACGACGCTCCTCAGATCAGCCTTCCTTCCTTGCGACTTCTTAAAATGAATCAAACGAGTTGAAAAATGTGATAAGAGGGTTACAATGGAATTCAGTTCTGTCAACGTGCTCTTGATGGTTTGTGGTTATTAGTCACATTGACGCACTGAACATATAACTTGAGAAGGATGGGAAAATAAATGAGTCAGAGTAAGTCGTCATAAAAGTACCTGATAAAACAACCGACTTAAGCTAGGATGTTGACGTAAACATCTAAAACATTAAAGTAGCTTGGATTTTGTTTGTCTGAAGTAAAATTGGATGATTTAACTTTTTGAAAAGTGACGACACAGCTGAGTTTCATGAGTTTACACACGCACACCATTTTCGGGGGAAGTGACAGAAGATGCTGACCTGATGAAAGTATGCTTTTTTTAAATGAAAGGATATGAGGACGTTTATCTTAAATCTTAAACGCCTCCATGAAGAGTGTACAAATATAATAATGATGCAGTGTGACTGACATTACCGACTGAGCCGTCTCATCGAGCTCTTGAGCCAAATAAGAATGAGAGCAGCAGGTACAGAGCGCCATGCTCTTTGAGCAGTGTGCATTAAAAGTTGTTTCCCCTCAAACAGCAGCTGATCGAGCTGAAAGCTAAAACTGTGTCCTTGTCTTTGCAGGTTTTCTTGGAGTGGCATGTGCCTGGATTCTGATGCAGGGCATCGCTGCAGGAGCTGCACTCAAGAAACCTGCAGCTGGAGCATCCTGCGGCCTGAAGGACCTGCTGGTCCTCACAGAGCGCCGGGTTGAGGAGAGCCTGGCAAGATTTGTGAGTAAAACGCCCACGCTTAACCTGGAATATTTAAGTTACTCGTGCTGCTGTAGTCGTCATCACACTTTAAGATTTTAAATGCTTATTGTGTATTCAAGTATAGAAAGAGAGAAAAAAAGTTTATTTCAAAGTCATTTTCTATGAAAAGCTAAGATATTATTTTTTATACAAATACATTTTCATACAAAGATTTTTCTCTAAAATAGGAGTCCTCAAATGGTGCACTGTCATTTGGAGCTGGACCAAAATAAAGATTTATCCGGACATACATGGATTTACTTTACTCACCTTTTTTTTTGTTTTGTTTTTTTATAGACTTTATGGTAAATTCCAAAGAATGGCTTTTCCCCACAAAGAGGTTTATCAATTTATTTTATATTGTAAGTTTATTATCAATTTACTGTAATCAAAATTCAAAATTATACCCTGGTTTTATGTAGTATATTTTTTATCCAATATATACTTTGGATACTTTTGTAGAGAAAAGTTTTCACAGATAGATGTCGTTGGATATCTCTGTACTAGACCAAAACAATTTACCAGTAAAATAGTAAAAATATGTTTGGAAATAACAGATTTCTATATTCAATTCAGTTCAATTTATTTATATAGCACCAAATCACAACATAAGTTATCTCAGGGCACTGAACAGAAACATTCACATTATATATCACTTATTCCAGATGATGGTTTCCTCTGGTACCAGATGCTGTGCAGCTGGAAGGATTTTTACCGAAACCTTTTTACTTTTGGGCATTTGTTATGATGTGTAACCATGGCACATAGGTGCTTTATTTTAACAACCAGGAGCAGCTGATAAACATCTCAAAAGCTCAAATACCTCAACTATAGCCCCAAATTCCAAACGAGTTGAAAAAGAGGCACTGTGGATGAATTCCCGTCAACCTAGCGGCGGTGCTCTATCTGACCGCCGAGATCCTGGAGCTGGTGGGAAACACGGCTCGTGACAACGGGAGGACCGGGATCATCCCCTGGCACCTTCAGCTGTCTGTCCGTGGTGACGAGGAGCTCAGCAGACTGCTGGGAGGAGTGACCATCGCTCAGGGAGGAATTCTGCCCGGCATTCAGGCAGTCCTGCTGCCCAGGAGGCCCGCTGGATCTGACAGCAAGCTGGATCCAGGTGGACGGATCAGTTTCTGTGGCTAGATTCTTTAGATTCGCTGCAGGAGATCCTTCCTGCCCACAGCTATCAGCATCTATAAGAACTCTTGAATGAAACCAGGAGGATGAGCTACGACAACACTTAATTTCTCTTTGGGATTAATAAAGTATTTTTGGAGCCAGCATTCAATAAACTATTTCATTAAGTCCAACAAAGTTAAGTCCAGTCCTCTGGACGGTTTCTTTTTTTAAAGTTTCATCTTACATCCAAATACGTCATCAGTCCAAGGAGCTGCAATAAACTCAGTCTTATAAACAGCATCTTCACAGAGTCAGTCAACCAGTTTGATGGTGCTCGAGTGGTTTCTGGGGTCCGCCCTCTCCCCCGTCGACTCGTTTGAGGCAGTCATGGCCAAAGCGGTTCAAAACATCCGGATTCATGCTCAATAATCCATTTTCGACCTGGATTATTGAGCATGAATCCGGAGGTTTCGTTGTTTTTAAATTACAGTTGAAATTGTTGCGAAGGAAACTGAAGCATATTTAAGTCGTGTGGAGCTGGTTTATTTTCAAACAGCCGAGCTGCTGCATTATTTTATGACGTGGAAATGACGCACAATCGGGCAGCATCTTCAGTCACGTGTGTTGGATGAACTTTTAATGTCAAACTGTGTTTTGTGAGGTCATAGCTCCTGCAGGAGCTGACTTCTAATCTAACACCCGTGTATCAAATGTTCAGCGTTTCAACAAGACTGCTGATGCATTTTATAAGAAATGATGGTATTAACGTCCCTATCTGCTCTCTCTTTCAGGATGAAGCTAATGGGAAACACGTGGGTACTTGGTCCCTCGGCTTCCCTGAGCTCCAGGTCCACCGGAACTCTTCCCCCAGCGGGCCCAAAGTCCAGTGCAGCCTCCACTTCATGGCCCAGGGCATGGAGAAAATCTTGAAGGACCAGAAAAACAATCTGAATCCCCAAGATGTTTCACTGCACAAGAAGCTGCGGGGCACGATCTCACGGGTCAGAATGCTTGCGGTGTGCGTGGAGAACCACCTGGGAGGGAAATGCTCCCACGAACCGCCGCCACCCAAGATGCCCAAGCACGTGTTTGAGAGGAAACAGTGGAGCCGTACTCTGCTGAAGCTGGCCGGGGATTATCTGGACTGGCTGCAGCAGGAGGTTATGGAGGTTTCACCCATCAAAGAAGCGAAAAGGAAAAAACATAAAGCTGCAAAAGCAACATTTCATAACTACTTAAGAGGGAGCGTGCATCAGCTGTGAGCTCAGCTGAAGTTAGTGTCTTATGCAAATATGGTTACAATCTGTGTCTTTAAATGAAATATTTTCAAAATCTGCACAAGATCGTCAAACAAACCTGTATCTTATATTCTTTTTACCATGTAGGATTATAAATAAATTGACTAAAGTCACCTGTACAGACTCGATGACTTTTTTAAAAACTAGAAACACTTTATAGCAGGGCTGTTCAACCGACGGCCCGGGGGCCAAATCAGGCCCACGGGTGAGCTATGTTCGGCCCACCAATGGGTTCATTATTAAATAAAACTAGATTTTAAACCGTAAAACAAACTTCATGACAATAACTGCTGAATGTCTGGACCCTGAGCTCTTGGCTTTCAGCAACTGTGTCCCCCTGAGCAATTTAGTTGAAACGCCCCGCTTTATAAGTATAATTTAACATTTTCACAAACTGTTCATCAGGCCCTGTGATGGACTGGACATGTCCAGGGTGTCCCCCGCCTCTTGCACAGGGACTGCTGGACATGGGCACCAGTGACACCCCGCCCCCCGTGACCCAAAAAGAAGAAGCGGGTAAAGATGATGGATGGACAAACTGTTCATCACTGGCTTTGCCACAGTTCAGGGAGACATTGATCATTTTCTTTCATTCATCAACTGAACATGGAGAGGTCAAAGGTTCACAGGTGTCCACCTTCCAGAACTAAAAGTATACTGAAATACAAAAAAACTGCCAAAAACCATCAAGTTAAAACTAAAATAGACTCGCATGCAAGACTATTTGCATATTTTAAGGAGCTGTTCTAAACTTAACTACCGTATTTTTCGGATTATAAGGCGCAAGAGCGCGGTGTACCACATAACATCGGTTCAAGCTCAGTGAGCACAACCAGATTTAACACATAAGGCGCACCGGATTATAAGGCTCACTGTTGATTTTTGAGAAAATTAAAGGATTTTAAGTGCGTCTAATAGTCCGAAAAATCTGGTGCATAATATCCTGGTTCATGCTCAGTTATCAAGGTAGAAAAATGTTTTGAAAAACGAAACGAGTCGGCGGGGGAGAGGGCCGACTACAGAAACCACCGAACACCATCAAACTGGTTGACCCACTATGTCAAGGTTCTATTTATAAGACCGAGTCTGTTGCAGCTCCTCGGACTGGAGACGTTTTTTGATGAAAGACGAAACGTTTCAACAAAAAGAAACCGTCCAGGAGGACCTGACTTAACTATACTTGTTTCTTATCATATAAATGAGCCACTTCACAAAAAAAACAACTCTGCAACGTAAAAGTATCAGAAATGACTTTTAATTAAGTTTGATAACCTCCAACAGCTTGACGTGTCCCCATGTGATAGTAATTAATCAACTTGCCAAGGAAACAAATGAGACGGGGTTCTAATAATAATTACAGAAGTGTTTTCTCAGCCGTCGGTGACTGTTTTCACTCCGCCGTCCTCTCCCTTGTGAGCGGGCCACACCACCCGAGGTACAAAACGTAGGTGGATGAGGCACCTTTTGAGGGTCGCCGGTTGAGCCTCCATCAGTGGACCTTACAGTGAACTGTGCAGCCAGATGGACAGAACCACGGGCAGATGCCCATCAAATAGGTGGAAAACCAACACGGAAATTCTTTATATTTATTGTTCCGTGTGGTTTTCTAAAATCCAATAAATTCAACTATTTTTTTCCACCATGTCTTATTTATCCAACAGCACCGCGTTGTTTAAAAAAACAAATACAGTACTTCAGTTATTTACCTCCTGTGATTAACGCCAGGACGCACGCTCGTGTCAGCAAACACTAAAAACTCGTGTTTTCAGTTTCACAGTCATTTTTATTAAATACTTTATTTCACACGCATGCAATATACACAGAATTACACATTTGTTATGTTTGAAATGCGTCCAAAAACCAAGAATTCAGCGATTTTTGAGGCTAAACCTGTTTTTAGAATACGAACCTAGTGAAGCTGATGGATGAGCTCTGTGCTTTAGACCCGATGATCATCATGGATGAACGTATGACGTCTTCTATGCACTTATGAAGTGTAAATAATAAACTTACAAACAGCATTTGTTGTTTTGTTTTGAGGTCGGAGGTCTTGGATGTCTTCATTTGTTAATGAAAAATGATTCAGAACAGTCTCTCCTTCGCCAAGTCCCATTCCATATCCAAACGGGGACTTGGTTTGTTTTAGTTTACTGACCCATGATTCGTTTGTTCTTCTTAAAACCACAGAAATAAGTGCAGTTCATATAGGTAGGAGCTCCGGAGGACTCTCGCCGTAGCAATACTTTGCTTGCGGGTTTCTGTAGGTGTTTTCATGCTGGACGCTCTACATAAGAAGACAAAAAGTTTCATAAAGTCAAATGGTCTTTATCACAACATATTAATAAAACAAAGCCAGCGTGCTTCTCCATTGCTTTACAAATAAGTCAACTGTTGAAACGGTTGCATTTCTGAGAAAATAAAACACACTTTCATAATCAGTGCTTTTGTTTCCAAATGACTACAAATGTAAGCGTAGTTTTGAGAACGCCGAGGTTGCTAGATTGTCAGGCTCGATTATGCTAATCTGTTCTTCGGCGAATAACGTACCTGTGAGGAGGTCCTGCATTTGGCGAGGCACAGCTCAAAATGGTCCTCGACGGCAGTGAAAAGGTTCTGGAAGCCTTTGGCTGCACGATTCAGGAAGCGCTCAAGAAGAGGTTGCTGGGGAAGAGTACACACATAAGCAACAGATTATGCGTGAACACAGATATGCAGATTGTAATCTGCGGATTCCTCGTCACCTTGCAGTTGTGCAAAATCAGAGTCAAAGTTTCAGATAAAAGCAGAGCAATTCTTGCATTTCGTGAACATTTAATTAAATGCACGTTGGTAAAAAAAGAACCGTGCAGATGACAGTTAAATCCCAAGCTGTTGTAGATGCAACAGATTACCTTATCTGGCTGGAGGCAGCAAGACACGCAGTACTCGTAGATGCTGCAGCAGCCGTTGGCCAGGCAGCTTTTACAGATGTACTGTCTGGTGCTGGGAGCGTTCACATTGCAGCAGCTGTTAACCAGCAAGTCTTTCCTCTCGCAGACATAACCTGGTAAAATAAGACCACTGATGAGCATAAACACTGAATATTATAGCGCTGAGTTATAAAAAACATCATTCACCTAGTTCGTCAGTGATCAGAGTCTTGCCCTGGATGGAGTTTCTGCACTGAGTAATCTGCCGGCTGCTGTTCCCGAGGTTGAAACGGACCTTCCAGGCGATGCGCTGCTCTGAATCTTTAACCTCTAAGAGCGTGCGGTCCCGTATGGACCTCTCCTCCTGCAAAAAAACAAACAAACAAAGCATTGGATATTAAGGACTTTAAACAGCAGAGTTTAAGAGCAGGTGTTGTGATATTGGATGCACGTCTGTGAAAGAACGAGCCTGCAGCCAGTTCACTACAGAGTTTAACTGGTTTCATTTGCTTTTTTTTGTAGATTTCCTTGACTTATACAGAAACTGTGACGTATACGGTTTTGAATTAGCGATTCAAATATTTCAATTCAATATTGAAATATTGAGCATGCATCAGGATATCAATTCAATATTGTTTTATTCACACACACACACACACGAAAACTAAAACTAGCGTATGCTAACGCTTTACAACTTGAATCCCGCACTCGTGTCTTTGAATTGACAAAGCTCCTCGGATGAGAAGTCCATTTGTTTTGTTTTTAACCTTTTTTTTTTTTTTGGGATGAAGCATATGCTAATTTTTTTAAATTCCCAAAGTATATTGTAATTAGTCCTGCCACGATAACAAATTTTGCTGGGCGATTAATTGTCTCAGAAGTTATTGCGATAAACGATAATATTGTTTGAAATTTGACAATAATTGGTAATTATTGTCAAATTTACGAAGAAATGTTAATTTGTTTGCCTGTAGTACCCGTTTTTGACCACAGGATGGCAGTGTTACACTGTTAGAACCGAAGGATGGATAGTGAGGGAGCGAGCAGCGTCTTTTTAAGAAAAATGGAAGGGAGGCCTCTTGACGTGACATGGGTTGTGTCTCTTCGGTTCTCAAAATGGCGGCCGCTTGGTGTGTTTTGAGCTCTTTAGCATAGCATTTTTCACACAAAGCTTTTAATTAAAGAAAAAAATCAGTAAACAAGTTCTCAGATTATTTTTAAGGAGAAAATCAACATTTTACACGAAGGCACGGGTTTCAACCGTGAAGTTTGGAGCTTCAACAAGACGGAGGTATCATGCGATTAATTGATTTATTGTTTATCGCGACAGGCCTAACTGCAATCACTTCTTTTTTTTTTTTTTGGTGAGAAAAATTGAGATTAATTTTCTGTTGAGCAAAAATGACTTGCAACCATTTTGAACCAGTGGGCACCTGATCAAACAATGAGCTTAATTAAGATATACATTCTAATAATAATAATAATTTATTAGGGTATTTACTGTAAGCAACAACTGACACAGCAGCAAAATAACTAAATTCTAGATATTTGCACAACTGTTTCCACCAAAATATAAATGTTCACATCTTCTAAACAAATCAATGTTGTTTTTTTTAAATTAAACACAAAACTATCGTGCATTATTTTGCATCATGATCACCCTTTCACTGAAAACAGTAAGGCCTCTGGGTCAAAGCATTTGCAGCAGTGTGTGTGCGCGCGCGTGTGTACCTGCTTCAGAGTGCTAGTCAGGAAGTAAATGAGGGAGAGTCCAAAGACGACCCCCAGCACCCAGCGCTTCCTCAGTAACCTCCGCAGCACCATCATCTCATGACCCTTGTATCCGGCAGCTGGCTGTCAGAACATTAAATCCACCAGGTACTGACCGAACTTCTCAGCTCCGTGGAATGTGAGCGTCACACCACGAGTGATCAACCATTAAAAACCAACCTGACCTGCTCGATCTGTCAGAGCCCCAAACGAGCTGTCAACGAACGAGTGAGACGTCCACACGGGCTTTAGCTACCCCATGTTGCAGTTTTCAGACAGCTAAACCAGTTCAAACTGAATATATCGAGCCGAGCAGCAGTGAATGTATTTATCTTCTGCCTAAAGGAGGTGGGTGTGTTAGCTAATGGGGCTTCATCGTAAATAGCCTGCTTTGTTAGCTTGCTAGCGTTGTTAGCCTTCGCCGACACTGATGATGGAACAATGTTAAAACGCTGCCGAACGAGCCCGCTTAGTCTCCACGGAACAAAAATGTTCTGTAATGCCAATCGTAAGTATTAACGAGCGGTAACGGTGCTGTTCATCCAGCAAAATCTAACCCGCAACGTTAAACAACAACACAACATTCCTACACGGATGTGGTCTGTTTGGGAGCAGGATGTGCGGCAGGCCGTTGTAACATATAATCAAATCACAACTGTTTTTGCTCACATTTTGAAATATTGCTCCTTCTAGACAAAATTACAATCTCGCCATATATGATTTAAAATAAAATATCTAAAATATAATTCTCAACAAATTCATATATATATATATATATATATATATATATATATATATATATATATATCACAAAGACAACAATAGACAATCATAGGATGCAAACAAATTGAGAATATATATATATCCATCCATCCATTTTCTTTACCCGCTTATTCCATTTTGGGTCACGGGGGTCACTGGTGCCCATGTCCAGCAATCACTGTGCGAGGGGTGGGGTACACCCTGGACGGGTCTCCAGTCCATCACAGGAACACATAGAGACAAACGAGACGAACAACCATTCACTCTCTCACTCACACCTAGGGACAATTTAGAGTTACCAATCAGTCTAACATACATGTTTTTGGTCTGTGGGAGGAAACCGGAGCACCCGGAGAAAACCCACGCATGCACGGAGAGAACATGCAAACTCCACCCAGAAAGGCCTCTGGACTGGGGTTTGAACCAGGAACCTGCTCGCTGAGAGGCAACAGCTCTGCCAGTTGCGTCACCGTGCTACCGCTATGTCTACAGTAAAATGGTATTTAAAAAAAAGTAACCAAAAAAAAAAGAACAGCTAGATTGTAAGGCAATGTAGAAAATTATAAACAAGAACATGTCTGCACTGGTTTTTCCCAGGAACTTAACAGCTGTTTAAAGCCACTTATAGAGAGATCAAGGTTGAGAGCTTCAGATCTTTTTGTAAGATATTCCAGGAAAGAGCGGAGTAGGAGAAGGCCCTTTTGCCCAGTTCAGTCTGCACTGAGGGAACACTGCAGGTAATAATGTCCTGAGAGCGCACGCTGTAGCTGCACTCACGCAGAGACACGTAGGAGGAGATGTATGAAGACAACAGACCAAGAAGTGATTCAAAGATGACAACGTACCAGTGAGAGAGTCTGCATGAAGTTAATGATGACCAGTTAACCAGTGAATACAGGTGTAGTTACAGCCAGTTATGAATCTTAGCGCACCATGATAGACAGCGTCCAACATCTGCAGGGTGCTTGTAGATATAAGGTCTACAGAGCTGTCATAACTAGATTAACAGTAGTCGTTGCATTATCGAGAAGTCTGGTCAAAATAAATGAAATAATAAATGTTATCTGCACAATAGTTTTCCCAACGTCGATTGTTAAAGTATTCTTAAATTAAAAATTTGTAATCAAAATTTGAAGCAAGACCAACAAAGAGCAGAAGTGACAAAAACAGGTCAGATGACTACACCCAGGTTAAGATGAATCACGACTCAAACGTTCACGTGTTTTTGGTGAATTCAGCCGAGACTTTGTTTACATGGCGTGGCAGAACCGTACATAAAAACTTGTGGCGTAAAAGCTGTGTTTATATGGACACAGAGATCCATAATTTAACTTTTTCAGTCAAGAGGGACATTTCATTTCTTTTCACCACATTCATCATTTCAGACACCTTAAATGTCATTCTAGATTATGTATGTGTGGACACTGAGATAAAAACCATACACATGACAAAGTAACCAGGGCCATTATATAGACATATTATACTAATATAATGCACTAATATATACCTATATGCTACTGTCTATATATACAGAAGTGTATACGAGCTATCATGGATTGCCAAAGTTCTTTATGAACGTCTGCACGAAATAACCTGTCTTTCTTTTATATGATAGATCGACTTGCCCTACAGGGCGAAGACCTCGTGACTGACGTCATACAGGAAGTCCTTCCAGCGGAGCATCAACATAATCAAGCTACTCGTTTTTATGCTCACCATGTCAGGAGCAGAAGCAAAGCACAATTCACAGAGCTAACCCAGGTAACGTCGTCATACAAATGTGCATCTGGTTCTCTGAAACATAAAACATGAAAAGAATAGTGATGATGATGATGATGGTTCCTCCTGCAGCGTTGAACCATCATGTGGTGATGCCATGCAGAGAAGACACAGCAGCAACACGGATGGCATGCCCTCTGAAAGGTGAGGACACGAGTCTGGGGAAGCTCCACTGCAGGTCCATGTGTGTGGACATGATCTTTGATGGTTTTTCAGGATCCCACAGATGAAACCATTCGATTTATGTTGTCACACAAAAACAAGCTGGGGAGTGTCCTGCTCTATCCTTCAGGCTTTTGTCTTTAGAGGCATTCTTGCTGTAAAGCTTGACTCATATTAATCTATGTGGGGGGAAAAAAGAGAATGTTTTATAAGATTTAGATCTGGTGAAGGTCACAAAATGTAATTTTAAATAATCAAAATCTCACAAAACGAGACAATGTTTTAAAAAAACATGTTTAATCCTTCAAGCAACGCACCAGAAGCGTTTAGAATTAGTACCAGTATAACAACACAAATCAAAATGACCCAATTTTCTTTATATGCAATTAAAATTTCTCATTCATTTTGCGCATCTTTACGTTCACACACTTTGACAAACATTTATTATTCATGACAAAGAATCAAACCAGGACAGAGGCTTGAGTGCTGAGCTCATGTGGGTTTCCCAAATAAGAATCAAATAAAAGGTTTGGGACAATTCGCATTAAGCGAAACAAGTTCATTGTGTCAGATTTTTGAGCGCCGTGTAGCACATAAAATCGGTTCAAAGTCATTAAGCACAACCAGAATGAATACATAAGGCTTACTGTTGATTTTTGAAAAAATTAAACAATTTTAAGTGCACCTTATAATTTGAAAAATACGGTATGTCACATGTTGACACAGTAAAAGTTGGATGTATTTAAAGCGTCTTGAATAGCAACAATAAACTTTCATTGTCCCACGAGTACAATTTTGTAAAAACAAAATCAACCATCTTAGCAACACAAATCAGTTTTAGGTGGAAAAAGAAGCAAACAAAAGCTACACTGGTTTCTAGAAACATTCTTTGTGTTTATTCCCGTTCAGGACTCGAAGCCAAACCCTGGGGTCGGAGAGCAGCCTGGATGAGGGTGGTGTGTTTGACTGCCTGAAGCCCGAGTCGTCCACTTCACCCCAGCAGATCTTCTCAGGACTGGTGGGGGTCCCCTCCAGCTCTATCTCTCCAAACCAATTCCAGGCAGCTGGCTTAGTCTTGGGCTCCCCGCCTGAAGTTTTCATCCAGATGACCGGGTCCTCCAGAGAAGAAGGGGCCACCCATCGAACAGAGGGTGGCCCGTTCCTCCAGCGGCCACCCCACCACCATCACCACCACCACTTCCACCACCAGCCCCTGCAGCACAGGACCTCCTCTCTGCTCCAGCAGGCCACCACAGCTGCCGGCTCTGAGAGGCACGGCTCCAGGGAGGAGGCCCAGGACGAGCAGTCCACTCCAGCTCCAGCTCTGTCTGAGCTGAAGGCTGTGGTCACCTGGCTGCAGAGGGGCTTTCCTTTCATCCTCATTCTGCTGGCTAAAGTCTGCTTTCAGCACAAATTAGGTAGTTACACTTGTAGAGTAACGGTACTGCAAACATTTCCAATCGCATGTCAATAACGTCATGCGGTCTGATTTAGTGGTGACGTTGTGCCTGCTTCCTGCAGGTATCGCCATTTGTGTGGGGATGATCAGCACATTCGCCTACGCCAATTCCACATTTAAGCACCAAGTTTCATTGCGGGTAAAATAAAAAAGCATTTTGTTGCTAAAATGCTGTGTTAAATGTGACGGCTGAATGACTTTGCTGAAATTTGTTAAAGAAGCTGCAGCTAAATCACCAACATTTAAACAAGAACTCTTAATATGAGCAAAACTGTAGCTCAAAGCTAAAGGTACATTTAGCAGAACCATATAGTTAACACATTTCAGAACAGTAGCTAAAAGGAGCATAAGGCTACAAAAAACAGTGAGTGTGATGAAGCAAAGAGAACTAAAGCGTCTCAGGATGATTTGATGCAGAAAACGTTTGCAAATAAAGTGAAATTATGTAAAAAGTAATTACCAGAAGGAAGTACGGAGCACAAATGTGCCCAATTAGACTTAAAGAAACAGAAATTAGCACAAATATGTGGAAATTATCAGGGAAAAAAAGTAGAAATTTGCAAAAAACAGCTGAATATTAGCTAAAAAAAAGCAGAAAGAAGCTTAAATTACCAGAAGCAAGTGGAGAGAGCAGGTTTTAGCTGAATTATTCAGAAGTAAATTTAAATGAGTGCAAAAAAATCTGGAATTAGCTGAAAAAGCTGAAATTAGGAAGAAAAAAACAGCTAAATAGTAGCTGAAGTAGCAGAAAAAGCTGAAACTTGACTAAGCTGAAATGCAAATATAAGCTAAAAATAGCAGAAAGAAGCTAAAAGGAGCAAAAAGCAGATGGAAAAACAGCTCAAATCAGCTGAAAGTAGTTAAAAAAAGTTTAAATTTCCACAAGGAAGCTGAAGCAGAACAAAAAGTGAAAGGAGCAGGAAAAGGTTTGTAACCAGATCTAAAGAGTTGAAGGATGTAAAATGAGCTCAATTCATTTTCTGTGAGACAAAATGTGGCAGAAAAGGCTAAATATTTCAAAAAGCTAAAGCTGCACCAATACCAAAAGTCTCCTGAATGAGCTGAACGTTTTTGATTTATGATTGGTTGAAATGGCACAAAAATTGTGGAACGAGAAAGATGCTGAAAAATGTACAGAAGAGAAATGGAAGACGATAGAGTGAATGCTTCACAAACGTTCACACAAATATGATGTTTTTGTTGCTGGTAACGAATCGGAACCGAACAAACCCAACAAACTCTGTTAAGTTGCAGAAAGCTTAATTCTTCCCTGAAATACCTGAAGTGTGATTTAATTTGATTTAATGTTTTCAAGTTTTTACGTAATAAAGTCTGTTTTTCTGAGTTTCTTATCTATGCCCAGGTGTTGCAGGATTAATGCTCATTCAAATGATTGACTCAAACAGGCTAAAGCCACCTGAATTTTCCATTTTGAGGTGTTTTTTTTGCAAATATTTGCAGATTTAAAATGAAACTTGCAGGAGTTTCTCTTAAGTTCCTCTGTTTTTTTTTCCTTTACTTTTTCTAGGAGGAGCGTTCAGTGTTTGTTGCTTTGTGGATCATTGTGTTCCTCTCAGGGAACGTTGTGTACATCTACTACACATTTAGTCAGGAGGAGCTGCACAGCAGGTGGGTGCAAACCAGTATGTCTTTATAGTAGCTTTGTTGTTTCTGCTCACCATCCTGTGTTTTTTTTTTATTATTTCATATTTAGTTTATTCCATTCTTTTGATGTTGTGTAAGACATTTTATGTTCGCTTCCATTTCCTTCAGGAAGTGCGGCAGTTCTTGTCGGTCATGTCCTGTGAGTATTTTTTTTGTTTGTTTTAGTGAGTTTCTTACTTTATGTTTAAGGTTTTTCCATCTTTTTGCTTCCTGTGTTACCATTCTAAGTAAATACAGGAGTCCCTCGTTTATCGTGGGGGTTACGTTACATGAAAAACAGCAAAGTAGGAATGCTTAATTTATTTATTTTTTTTATTTTTATTTAACACAAGTTGAACTGATGTAAATTTCTGAGTTGAAACAAACAAAAACAGCTCAGTCGACTAATACATTTAATTCAACTAAAGCAAAAGTTTATTTAGCAAGAGTTTATTAATCAAGACAACTTGATCATGTTTATTCACTCTATTTGAAATTTTAAATTAAGTAGTAATGCCTTTTTACTCACCAGCTCTGCAGAACAGCAGTTCGGTTCTGGTCTAGCTCGGTTCTGGTTTTGCAGACCTACTTTGCAATGACGAAGCCCACAATATTCTAAACTCTTAAACCTACGTAAATTTAACAACAGACATATATGCATTACACAGCTGCGTACTGCAAAATTTTATATGGGTACTCACCAGTCTTGGTCTGGTTCTGGTCCGGTTCTTATCAGGTCTTTGCAGCCTTTGAGCACCAATATGCTTTTAGAGAGAGCCGGACCTTTGGATAGCCAGCACAAAACCGCACATTGGTCCCGATTGAGTCCAAATCTGGATGTGGAAATCCCGGTGAGAAAATACCGGACCTCCAAGCGACTCCTCCCCACTCGAGAGGCCTCATGGGCCGGCAAGCAGCACTCAGATTGACCGATGAGGCTGGAAGTCCGGTTCTGGTCCAGCTCCGGGTCGGTTCTGTACGGCTCTCTGTATCCACTGAGCGCTCAAGTCACTATGAATAAGGACCAAACTTTTTTGGATCGGATCAAAACTTTCCCTTCATTTCAGCAGAAGGCAACTTTGGCTTCTGGGTAATGTAGTCCTTTTGACCGGCGATACAGTGTAGGCTTATTGAGAGAAAACTACAAAAAGGCGGCACCTGTTCAAAGTATTTTTTTCGTTAACTTTTTACTATGTCCTGTACTGTCCCAAACACATGGAGTAATATTAAAGTTGACATTCGCTTGTCATATATAATCTTTTTTTTGTTGTTGTTGTTGTGTACAATCTTATTTTGAAAAACCGCAAAAGAGTACGTCCGCAAAAGCTGAACCATGAAGTAGCGAGGGACTACTGTACACCACATTTGTAAATATCAGTTCTGTAAGTTGATGCTTTCTTTTTATAGCCTGATGTTTGGAAAGCCCACCCTGAGCAGCTTCGGCTTCTTTGATCTGATCTGGGTGGTGGGAATCACCGACTTTGTCCTGAAGTTTGTCACCATCGGCCTGAAGTGCTTCATCCTCTTTCTGCCAAAGATTCTCATGGCCTTCAAATCCAGGGTAAGGAAATACAAACGTGGGATTTGACTCGACTGAGTTGTAAAGTTGCATTCAGGCCCAAAAAATCCGACCCGGCCCCAGTCCATAGCCATCATTTTCGAACCCGAACACCCCCCACACACACAAACATTTTTAATTAAGCTTTGACTGCTTATATAGTTATTAACGGTGGGCGGACGCTCACAGCTGAGTAAAAGTGAGCAGAAGATCGGAGTTGAGGGGGTGTTTGTCCTTTCATGGCCGTCAAAGTGCATTAAATCCCTGCTTCTGGCTGCATTCTGCATTATTCAGACACGGACCCTGCTCTGACATGCCTGCAAAGATATTTTGGGATTTCACCTGTTTGGGTCATCGGCCGCGTGCGTCCGCTGAGTGCAGCAGCTGAACGTCCATTTGGGCTTTGGTGGTTCGCTGCCTGGCAGTATCGTTCCATCTGAAGCTGAACCTTTTTTTTTTTACCTCTTTCAAGGCCGGTCAGCGTGCCGTCAAATGTCCGCGTGCGACTGGTGTTGTATGGCAAGCCATGTTGCCATATAATTGGATCGTCAGCAGCGTGCGTCCGCTGATGCAATCCAAAGCCCGACACCGCCTCGCCCATCCAGCACATTATTATGGCCCAGCCCGAAGTCGGGTGCACCGGGCCGGCCTTTGGGCCCGGGTTAGAAATGACAGCTCGATTGAGTTGCCATGAAGCACAGAGGTCCATGAACATTAGGATGACCACAGGAAACACGGGGAGTGAGAAGATTGTGTCATATATTTATTTTAACCCATATTCAACATTTAATAACATTTTATTATCTTTTTAGACGTTGCTCTTAATTTTCAGAGAAATAAAAACAAAAACAAAAAAATATTCTGAATATGCAAAGATTTTACTTTGTATTTTGCGCCTTTTTATTTAAATTGTTTAAGTACCGTTAATTTATTTAGTTGGGGTGGGGGAAATGGCGCATTCCAACTTTTGTCCGGTCAGTTTTCAATTTATTTTGTCCAATTATAGGTTCTGATTGTGCTGCTTAAAGCTCAACCTCCCAAGTTAGAGTTGCATTATGATCTGAAGAAGAAAAACTTTACAAAATGATGATGAACAACTCCCCCTGAGTGTAAAAAGTGCTGAAGGGTCACAGTGTGAAGCTGATTTGTATTCATTAGATTTTGAACAGTACTCCTTAGGTGCACTTTGTGCGTGTGGGTGTCTTCTTGAGAGCTTTTTAACGCCTGAGGCTGCAGAGTCTAACTGCAAACACACACACACACACACACACACACTAGCTTTAACTTTCATACAGGTGTGGTTTGTAGTACTGATGTGTGTATTTGTGCTGCACGGAGGAGGAGGAGGGTGGTTTTGAAGTATTGGGATTACATTTTCCACTGATAAACAAACCTGGAGGCACATCAGAACCGTGCCAGCAAGCAACTGAGCTCATCTACCCTCGAGGGGGTTGGCGGGGTGAGGTCATCCCTCTCTGGAGCTGGACCATTACCTGTATCCTCCTCTCACGTGCACACAGACACGTGCTGAGTTGTAGAAAAATCACTAATTGTTTCATCATTTCACATCCCATCTCAACAATTCTCTGCGAGATTGTCTGTTTTGAACCCGGCGGGGTCACGTGATTAGTGGTTAAAGTTCTTTACTGCAGCCAGTCAGGGAATCACTAATGATGACTGCGGTCGGCACCGGTCCGGTCCGCTCCACTGACAGCAGGTAAGAAGGCTGAGTCCCATCAGGAGATGATTTGTGTCGAGTTTCACTCCGGTGTTTGGGTTCTGGGAGGGTCTTTATATAAAAAATAAAGGTTTCATGTTGTTAGAATCAACTTTATTGTTATTCACCATATAACCTTAAAGTTAAATAAATAAATATCTGTTGTTACTTGTTAAATCAGATCTTTAATTATCTTTTTAACATAGAAAACTAAATATGTTGGAAATTCCCTAATGGCCCAGATAAGATTGGAAAGAGATGTCTGGGCCTCCCTGCTCAAGCTGCTGTCCCCGCGACCCGACTTCAGAACAAGAGGAAGATAATGAATGGATGGATGGATGGATGGATGGATGGATGGATGGATGGTTTAATTTTAAATACAGTATACTTATAAGCTCTCAGAAATTGGTTTCTCAGATCACACCATTGGTTGGTTCACTAACTATCTCTCAGACCGGAGGCAATGTGTTCAACATAATGGTACTTCCTGCAGATATTTAACAGTCAACAGTGGTGTACCACAAGGCTCAGTCTTAGGACACACCTGCTTTACAATCTACATAGATAATGTTGGTCAGATCATCCCTGATGCAACCTTACATTTCTATGCTGATGATACAGTTGTTTATTGTCGAGCTAAAACAGTTGCTAAGGTTTTCCAGCTTTTACAATCCGCTTTTGACATCATCCAGTCAGATTTGTTCCGTCTCAAACTTGTAATAAACGCCGACAGAACCAAAGGGAGGAAGTTTTCAAACAGGAAGTTGGTCCCAGCACTTCTTCCTCTGATTTTATCTTCGAATGGTGCTCTTATTGAGTTTGTCGATTCCTAGAAATATTTGGATATCTTGGTCGATTCACATCTCTCTTTTAAGCTCCACGTGGAAAACTTAGTTGGTAAACTAAAAGTTAAATTGGGTTTATTTTTCAGAAATAGATCCTGTCTAACTCTGAATGCTAGGAAACGCCTGTTAACTGCGACTTTCCTTCCCTCCATTGATTACGGTGACATTATTTACATGAATGCTCCCACAAGCACCCTGCAGATGTTGGATGCTGTGGTGCGCTAAGATTCATAACCGGCTAACTCCCGTACCCACCACTGCACCCTGTATTCACTGGTTAAATGGACGTCATTAACGTCACGTAGACTCTCCCACTGGTACATTTTCATCTTTAAATCACTTCTTAGTCTGCTGCCTTCATACATCTCCTACATGTCAGTGCATGAGTGCAGCTACAGCGTGCGCTCTCTGGACATTATTACCTGCAGTGTTCCCTCAGTGCGGACTGAACTTGGCAAAATGGCCTTCTCCGACTCCGCTCCTGTTTCCTGAAATTTCTTGCAAAAAAATCTGAAGCTCTCGACCTTGACCTCTCTAAGTGGCTTCAAACATCTGCTAAGTTCCTGGGAAAAACCAACGCAGACATGTTCCTGTTTTTAGTTTTCTACACCGGCTTACAACCTAGCTGTTTTTTTTGTTTTTTTTTTTGGTTACATTTTTAAAAAATATTTTATTTTCACTTGTTATTCTCAATTTATATGCGTCCTTTATGATCGTCTTTGTTGTCCACTGTTGTCATCACTCTGTTAAAATCAGGTCTCTCTTGTAAATGAATCCCAGAGACTCAATGGGATTAACCTGTATAAATAAAGGTTGAATGAATGCAATGAACTGGTGAGCCAGACTGAGCTCACCCATGGGCCAGATCTGGCCCCTGGGCCGCCAACTATATCATTTTTATTTTTTTCATGTTTTAACTTTGACAACATGCCCAGCTGTCAGAATGTCAGACATGCTAAACCTGACCTTTCTGTCACCTCTTAAATCTCTGACGACTCATCAATGAATCTTATGTTTCTATGACAACTATCTAAACGTTCAGGACTCTGAAAGATAAAGGTGAAGGTCCTGTAATTTTTCCCGGTAAATACGTCTTTTAATTTTTTTTTTTTTGAGGGTTTATTTTCATATTCTGGTGAACTTCCTTTGACATCTGCTGATGTGACAGAGACCTTTGATGCAGGAAGCACATTGGGTGGAACTTCAAGAGTTTCACTATTTCCACATGTGCTGGTCTTTATTTGGCTCGTGCTCAGGGATAGTTAACCACATTTATTTACAAATAGCAAAATTCTCCTTATTAATCTGATTACCCAACTACCTCTCATAAGCTTTTATATTTGTTTTGCATTTCATTGGGGGCTTTCTCTGGGTGTGACTCATTTAGTTTTACAGATATTGAGCTAAAGTTTGGTTTGGTAGTAGCTGAGACTGATTCCAACTCATGCTCTGAGGAAAACTAATATCACAAGATGTGGGTTTAGAACTACCAGAAACTTATTATGTTCCTTACTTTTTTAATAAGACACCATCGTAACTTTGGTTTACCTTCAGTAGAAGCAGGAATAGATGGAAACTGGCCTTACCATTCAGTTGATTAATGATGCCGATAAAAATGAAGCCGTAAGTAATCAAAGCATATCTCCCACACACCTTCTCCTTCAAATAAATAAGTAAAACAAGCAGGAAACTATTCAAGCAGAGCCTGCGGTGGAGCTTACTCAAACCGTCTGGCTTGTGTCCAAACTTTAAATTTGACAGTTTTGGCGTGGGCGTGATGGGCACTGTGGGATGCGAGGCAACGGGAACAATAAGGAAGATGAATTAGTAGTTAGCAGAGGTCTTTCTCCCCTACCAACCCATGCTGCTTGTGCCTCTTTACCCACAGTCATCAATCTTTGTCCTCGGCCATGCATGAAGTCATTATGCAAGCTGAGATGCCGTGGGGGCCATCGGGGAATCAAGTTTGCCTTCATTTTACCCGCCTCTGTTTTTAACTGCCCCCAATTCACTTCACACTTTGCAGCAGCGGGGACATGAGAGTGCTTCTTCTCTGTGATTACAGAGGGGAGGCTCTTCAAAGACTGTTAGCGAGGCCCCCATAAGGCTGAACTTAATGTGGGCGCTGGGGTAGCAGGTGGAAAGAGGCGCTGCCAGTTTCCCTTGCAGTGTGGGGAAATTGCCTGTGCTGCTGTGAAGCTGCTGAGATCTGGACAGCGGCCATGTTTGGGCTGCAGGCGCGCCGTTTTAAGCCTTTAATGCCACACTGCTCTTAACTAGATAGAAGAAGGCCCTGAAGCTGCTGAGCTCGATCTGGATTTTAGACCGTCCAAAGAAAGATTACATATTGTCTCAAACTTGGTTTGTCTTTTTTTCCTGTAGTTGAAACTTCTTTTATTGCTTGTTGACTGTCACGTCTTATCCATGTTTGGTTCATGTGGTCTCAGCTTCCATTCTAGCTGCTAAATGTGCTCGTTTGTCCAGGGAAAGTTCTACCTGCTGATTGAGGAGCTGAGCCAGCTGTTTCGGGCTCTCGTGCCCATCCAGTTGTGGTACAAATACATCATGGGAGAGGAGCCGTCCAACAGTTATCTGCTGGGAGCCACACTCATCATCATCTATAGCCTCTGCAAGGTATGCAGTGTCTGCTAGCAGAACATTAAATAAAGATCATGATTGTTTGGGGTTATAGATTTTGTCTGAATTATTCACTCACTTTTAGACTTTATTTACTTCTCTGGTACCTGTTGCAGACAACTGACGTTAAGCAACATGCATTTGTAGAAATAACTTGTGAATCTTTGTAATACTTGAATGTTTGTCTAAAAAAACATATTACCGGTAGTTCATAGAATGCTAAAAACACTAAAACTGATATATGGTTGACTGTTTCCACATATTTTGTAAATTACTTTTGTTTGAATATATTTTGGGGAAAAAAAGGGCAGATATAAGATTTATTCTTCTTCTGCTGTCTTTCATTTTATTTTTTGATTGTGTATATATATATAATTTTCTATTGTATATAGTTATTTTGTTTTTAATGAGATGAATAAATGTCTCAATAAATACATATTTTGTTTATATCAATTGAAAATCATTCAAAAAATGTATTACATTGTTTATGCTGATCTCTGGAGGTTACTTATACATGTAAACAAATATTAGGGTCATGTTTTAGCAAAAGTATGTGTTTAAAAACTACCAGTCAAAAGTTTAAATACAGCTGATGATATTTCATCGCTTGTCTCTTTACATGTTTATATTTTTCATCTTAACATTTGTGCACTCTAGTCACACCAAAATACATCCCCTGGAGACCTATATTTATTCACTTTTTAACCATTTCGTATATTTATGGGATATAAAATAATATAAAATTGAGATAAAATTATTATTAAACCTTTATTTAACCAGATCTTAGATCTTATTGAGATTAAAAATCAGTCTTTTCAAGATGGACTTGGCCAATCATGGCAGATTATCAAGTTTGTCAGAAAATTTAGATCAAAAACTGATTTTTTTTTTTTTCTTCTGTTATTAAACTGATAAAGTTCTCCGACTCTAATCCCATGGTAAGTCATTTAACAGAAATCTGGCTCAAATTTTTTATTTATTTTTTGCTTTAAACTGCCAGAATTTCCAACTCACTGGCTGTGCTACAGTTCTCCAGGCAAACTCGACATTAAATAAGAACTTCCCCGGCTCATGCATCAATTAAAAATAAAATAACAGTCTTTGCCTCCTTGGAAGAGGTCAACATCTGGAGAACTTAATATTCTCTCAGCACACTTCTAAACAGTCTGATAACTGTGTTAGTGAAATGTCTTCTCTGCCTCTTTGGGTCAAGTTTATGTAAGAAACTCTTTACATTTTGGAGATGCTGCATATTTAACTCCTGGATTAAAAAAAAAGTGTTAGTGCTTGATAGCGTCATAAGTGCAGGAAGGAAAGCTGAGATGAAACACTCAGAATCTGACGTAAGGAGAAAAGAGGAAGAGGTTGTCAACGTTCAGTGCGAGGTCACAACTTGGTCACATCAGAGTTCAGAGAATGGAAATTATTAAAAAAAACCAAAAAAAACCCCGACACTTTTAGACCCGTGAGTCAGTTTTAAGTTGCGTTTGAAAGCTGACACCATGGAACTTGGATCGATGAGCTCCTGGATGATCCAATGAAGCTATTATTGTTCTGCAGTCTTAAAGTGTTCCTCGTGAGTCACAAACAAAAGTTTGTGGTGAATGAACAGTTGTTGTTTGTGAACGTGAAGATGAATGAGACGATCCTGTGCGTGCTGAGGCGCAGCGGTGGAGTTTCTTCACATCAGTTCATGTTAGGAGCCTCAGGGTTAGAATATGCGGATGTAGGCCTGTCGCGATAAACAACAAATCAATTAATCGCATGTTAAATGAAAATTATCATCCTCATTTTCATTTATCTGCTTTATCGTTTCTTCATGTCTCTTTCTACTGAAGAACTGGATGACAAAAGGCTCAACACGGTGCTCTTCACCGACCCCTCCTTTTCTCTTTAAAATCTGTTTTAACAATCCAAAATCGAGTTTTTGGATTGTTAAAAGCAACTAAGCTAACAGGCCGACCTCGGGTGGGGTGGGTGGGGGGAACCTCTGTATTGTCGAAGCTCCACAATTCACGGTTGAAACCCGTGCCTTCGTGTAAAAAGTTTTTCTCTGCAAAAAGAAGCAGAGAACTTGTTTACTGATTTTTTTTATTAAAAGCATTGCGTGGAAAATGCTATGCTAAAGAGCTCAAACCACACAGAACGTCCGCCATTTTGAGAACCAAAAAAAAAAAAAAAAGGAAGGCGAGACAGCCCACGTCACGTCAAGGGGCCTCGCTCCCATTTTTCTTAATAAAGAGACGCTGCTCGCTCCCTCACTATCCATCCTTTTTGGTTCAAACATTCTTAAACTGCCATCCAGTGGTCAAAAAAAAGGTACTACACACAAAAATTAACCAACATTTCTTATTAAATTTGACAATAATTACTAATTACTATCAAATTTCAAACAATATTATCGTTTATCGCAATAATTTCTGAGACAATTAATCGCCCAGCAAAATTTGTTATCGTGACAGGTCTATGTTGATGTGCATCTGTCGTCGATTGTTGAAATCTCCTATTCATTTTACTCAAAGAAGCCACACTCGAGGACACGAGAAGAGTTTTAACCGTTTTTTACTTACGAGGGCAGACACACAACAGGTTAGATGCACAGAAGTTACATGCATGGAGCCCAGTCACGAGAATCTGCCACATGCAGCATGTGAGCTTTGTTTTTATCAGCTTGTCAGCTCATAGCTCACAGGCAGACACTGATGACCTCAGCCATCCAGCTGCACACGCAGGATCAAATCAGCTCCTCATTCAGCCCTCTGTGAGATAGACAAGAACTCTCTGGTAACTCAAAACACATGGTTCATGGGCAGTTAACATGCAGTACATGGTGGTTAAAAACATTCGTAAACCTTGACCCAAATCCCCTGACAGGTGAGCCACTGCTGTCGTACTTTTTTATGAAATAAACAAAATGACTACTTGTCAGCGGAATTAAGATACAAAAAAAATAATAATAATAATTTACAAAACTGAAATATGCAGATCAAACTTTAGGCTTGTTCTTCCATTTATGTTACATTTCAGCATATTTTTAGCTAGCTTCATTTCAGCTGTTTTTCAGCAAGTTCTGCAATAAACATTCACACTGCATTTTCAAAATGCAGTTTCTCTAGTTGTAATTATCTTTGTGATTAGGAAACTGATTTCGCTCTGTCCTCTCTGGTTTGCAGTCGTTTGACATTTGTGGACGGGTATCTGCTCTCCGTAAGGCCTTGGTCATTCTCTGCAGCTCCCAGGTTAGATTCTAAAAAATACAAAGTCCTTCATGCACTCAATGCATGCCGTGTTTGTTTACATCAAGACTTTCACTTTGAATTCAGATTGGTTGAGTTCATCTTTTCAGTTTGATTCTTTTTTTGTGACCCTTTCAGAGCTATGAAGTGAGGGCCAGCAGTCAGCAGTGCAGCGAGGCAGGTGACGTCTGTGCCATTTGTCAGGCTGATTTCAAAGACCCCATAGCTCTGATGTGTCAGGTAAGAGGGGTAACATGCATACATTAAGTGAAAGAGATGCATGGATACTGTACAAGCAACAGCAAACAGAATATATTGTTATAGACTGCCCTCTGTTGATTAAAGGAGCTGTTTAAATGTCAGAGGTGCACAGCTGTTGGAACTGCTCATAGCTCAGAGTCAATTAAATGTTTTTATAACCTACTGAATCATCTGTAAGAATAACGAGGACCATTAAACACTCTATAAATACACTTCTCTTCATACTTTATTGTATTTTTCTCATTATTGTGCATCAACATCAGCGTTTCTGCTTTTATTACTATTAAATACTTAAATAATAACATTTCATTAGGCTTGCTTTAGGCTTTTGTTCGTTTTGTCTTGTTATTAAATGTATTAATGTTGCGACAATTGGCTTTACAATTGTCACGTAATGATTCTTCTGCTATGATTTGAGGAATTATCTGCTCTAGATGTTGTAACTCATTGTGAATAACTGTTCATTAAAAGTAACTTTTAACCTTTAATGCGACAACTATCGTGTTTCTAAACGGAGTTGCTCTGAACTGAAAGACGTGCATCGTGTTCCTCTGCAGCACGTCTTCTGTGACGAGTGCCTGTGTTTGTGGTTCGACCGCGAGAGAACGTGTCCTCTGTGCCGCACGACCATCATCGAGACCCTGCGGTGCTGGAAGGACGGCACCACGTCGGCTCACTTCCAGATATACTGACGCCCGACAGCAAACGGGCAATCAGAACAATGCTGCGCTATGAAGCAAGTTAGACAATAAAGTGGGTATAATTTCAATCAGGATGGATAGTATGGCAGTAATAAACATCATAAACATAAATTAAAGGTTTTATTTGCAAACAGTAAAATAAGAAAGGTGACCTTGGGCTAAATCCAGTGGTGCAGTTTAAAATAACTTCAGAAATTTTCCATTTATATGATTCTAAAATGCAGGTACGCACCTAATGTAAACAAAGCACTTTAAACTGGAAGTGGCAGAAATGAAGATGTTAAGGAATAACGAGGATGGATAAGATTAGGAATGAGATCATCAGAGGTACAGCACAGGTTGAACAACTGGGAGATAAAGTTAGAGAGGCCAGGCTGAGATGGTTTGGACATGTCCAGAGGAAGGACAGTGGGTATACTGGTAGAAGGATGTTAGACATGCAGCTGCCAGGATAAAGGCAAAGAGGAGATATATGGATGCAGTTAGAGGGGACATGGAGGTAGTTGGAGTGAGGACAGAGGATGCAGAGGACGACTCGCCGAAGAGGGAAAAGCTGAAAGAAGACTTTACTCAACAAATATTTGCGTTAATAAATATCAATACAATAATAATTTTAGATTTTCAACCTCAAACGAGGCTGTTTGAAAATCGGTCACCAGTGACATCAGTCACTTCGGCTGCTCCTGTAGATAAACACACACATGGTTGACAATCATTTACAAAATGTGCTTCTGAATTTTTACTTTAACTCATCATGAATATAAGAAAAATTGTGCAGAATGAGTTTTTGCCAGTATTCATTTCATTCAGTATCTTTAAGACGTGATCGTCTACATTGTGTCACTGTTTTAGTGCTTTACATAGTTTAACATTTATTTGACGCTAGTCACGTGATAAAATTAAACTTTTATTTACTGTGGTGGTGGTGATAATGCTTCACATTTTAATATTTTTGATTTTGTCATGCATATTGTTTGTATTTATTTAATTGTACAATTTGTTTAGAAATGCAGTTTTTAAATTGGACAAGCCTGATTTAGAAAAAAGTTGGGACTTTGTTGAAAATGTAAATAACTTGCAAATATCACAAACCCATATTTATTCACGTTAAAAAATAAGCATATCAAATGTTGTAACGAAGAACCTATGGTTTGAATAAAAAAAATATATATAATGTTGAATTTTATGGCAGCAACATAATTCAGAAATGTTTAGACGGGGCAACAAAAGGTATTTTAGAGAGGCTGAATCTCTTTGAAGTAAAGATGGGCAGAGGTTTACCGGTCTGTGTAAATCCACATCTAAAAAGTATAGATTTTTTAATTTATTTAATAAATGCAAAATAATTTCAAATCAGTGCATTCTGTTTTGGTTTACGTTTTACACAATGTTCCGACTTTTTCAAAATTGGGATTGTACAATATCAAAGTTTTTAATGAGTGCACATACTATTGTATTTATGCGTGATGGTAATTTCTCAACATACGCCATTAATTGTTTTTGATGTAAACAAGCAACATCGTCACAACACCTTACGTTAAATTGTGTACAAATAAAGGACACTTGCGTGACAAATCTCAGTAAAAGTGTTTATTTTCATGACGGCAAAAAAAAAAAAAAACCCCATCAGAAATATTTCACACGTTAAAAAGCACACTTATATAAAAACACATTACACTTAATATATCAGAGAACGCTCATTCTCAGAAATCACAGATAAGAAAAGAGCTTCCAGTGCACAGGTCCAGCATTTTCTGATAAAAAGGCTACATATGACAGCCCCGACAGGTAATAGTTAAGCATACACATCCAAACAATGTAGAAAACACATTTATAAAATCCCTCATATTTACATGTTCACACAGATTATAGCTTATATTTAAAAACAAAGAACAGTGCATGTGAACAGGTGTACTTCAGTGCATGTTTAAGGACCGCTGCAGCTAAATCCTGCAGGTCTAGACAACTGTCATTGATGCTCTTGGAGAAAACAGTCAAAGCAGAACCATTAGTAAGCTTTTCCTCCGTGCTACCAGGGGAGGATTACATCACCGTTTTGTTGTGTAAATGGGGATGGCAGACTGGGAGAGTCATGCAGGGGAAGGACGGACTGGATGAGTCGAACCCCGTCCACTCTGGACCTTCAGGGAGTCAGCTCCGACCCCGGAACACGGATTTAAGCCCCTTCCTTTTTCATTGTCTGACTTGTTTTTCACCCAGCACCGAATCCTCCCGACTCCAGCATCCGTCTTTGATCGGAGCCCGTCGCTCCTGCGCATGCGCGATTTTAAAGGCACCATCTACAACCAGAAGGACGCGTTTGTGTCAGAAAACAAACAATATAAAAAGATAAATATGTAGACCTCCTATAAAATAATTACTCGACTTATGATATCCGACTCACACAAATTAATGAATATAATATAATAAAATAGAATAGAATAATCCTTTATGTGTCCGCCAGCGGGGAAATGCAGGTGTATCCGTCAACGCAAACAATAACAACAATAAACTAAAATGACAAAAAAAAAAAATAATAATAATATAGTTGCGAAATAATGAAGTTTTTTTTCCATATTTTTGACTGGAAAAAATACGTTCTAACGAAAAAGGTTTTAAAAATATGATTCAAAAACACAAATTGAATTTAGGTCAGTGAACGTCACACCTTGAAGTAATTTGTTTACACTTAGACATTTCTTTGTTGTGTTTCTTGTTGAATTGATCATAAAATTATCCATGTTAAAGCAAATGTTGGTTATTTATAGGAATATTTAAACATCTGTATGTCGACAATTATGGTTTTGTTGAATAGACTTAATGTTGTGATGGGTAGATTTTGCCTAACAAAACATATTAAAATAACTATATATATATATATATATATATATATATATTACACATTTTCTTTGTTAATATTTTAGTCCAGTTTAAACTTTATTCCATCTTAAAGTTTTATTCTCTTAATTAAAGGTGAACCTAATGTATAAATGAGCTCATACTCCATGTGACACCGCTCACCTGTTGCTGGTGTTGCAGCCTCGCGCCCTACAGGTGTCGCCTCGCGCCGAGCAGCACGAGCAGAGTGAAGTGCACAGCCAGACACAGGAAGCCCTTCACACGACGGCTGCTCCGAGTCACCACCTCCACCTGTCTCCGTCCTCTGTCCTCACAGACGAGGCCGTCCCCGCTCTCGCGGGCCGTCCAGCTCTTCTCCAGGTGGTCTCCGATCCTCCGCAGGCGCGAGGCGAGCAGCTGAGCCACGGAGCACGCGGAGGGTCGGCGGCGCGCGCTGCAGCTGGAGTCACCTGGCCGCAGCAGAGGCTGGTGTATCGGCAGCCAGCACATCTTCTCTGACCGAGACCCGTGCGCTCTGTCCTCCCTCTTTAAGTCCGTTTCCCCCCCCGGACTCCCACCTCTCTCCACTGTATTATTCATTACCGTGTCACGTGGTACAAAGGGTTTACATCATCTTCTCCCAAAGAGATGCAATGGTCTTGAGTCTCTCCTGTTTGGCGTCTTTTGTTTAAGCCAATACGAGGACAGGCTGTTCTCTGCTGCGCGCATGCACATTTTCGATAGGGGTCATAGTATATTCATTCAACCTTTATTTAGACAGGTAAATCCCATTGAGCCTCGAGGACTCATTTACAAGAGAGACCTGAATATAGAATATTTGTTTATATCGTAATCAAATTAAACATAGTTGCACATATGCCAACACGTCTGTTATAAAACAGGAATAATAATAATTGTTTAAAAAAACTAGCGGAACCAAAGTAGAAGTGTTCGTTATTCCTTGTCGGACTGTTTATATAGAAGGACAGACTGGTTTGTATATGCGGGTGCTAAAAAAAAAAAAAAAGCCCTCGCGTTTGTTTTTAATTGCTGTTGAATTTAGCTTTTTAAACTATATTTTCTGTGTTCACAAGTTTGTAAATTACTTTTAGTCGACAATGACATGGCGGAGAACGATCTTGCTGCGTTCAGGGAACGTTGGAAACGAGAGCTAAGTAGTAATTTAACAGGAGTCGCTTCCTCCTCCCGGGATGTTCCTGATCAGTCAGGCCGGAGAGACTTGAAAAATACAGACGAGCCTTTAAAGCCAGAGAGAGGTGAGACGGGTGTTGGAGGGAAAGCGGACTCGGAGACAGAGGATCAGCCTGAGTATGTGTCCATCGCACGCAGTCTGCTGGATGGGAGGACCAGTCCCCTGCTGGATAGGATTGAGGAGGAGAGAACCAAGAGGAAGAGGCTGTATCAGAACATGACCAATGCCTGCAGCGCATCCCTGCAGCAGCAGAGGAAGGTGAAGAAAGTGAAGGAGGAGGAGCTGGTGGATCAACTCATTCAGGATCTGGTAGGGTGCTTGTCCAGAAACGCTCAGTTCTGTTTGTGCATTGTGCTCTAACTCAGTTTCTTGCAGAATGAAGTCAACGACATTCCCTTCTTTGACATCGAGTTGCCTTACGAGTTAGCCCTGAAGATTTTCCAGTATCTCAACTGCGCTGAACTCGGCCGCTGTGCCCAGGTGAGGTTCTGGTGTAAGAACAACCAAAACTGGTTGTATGAGGGTAAGAGACCGTTATATAAGGGCTCACATTGTGCTTTTTTTAATATTGTCAACAAATCTCACTAGATAATTGTGACAGTTTGTTGTGTCTAAAAATATTATGCCAGTAATATTACCTAGGAGTGAATTTTTTTTTTTTTAATTTTCCACCCCTTTTATTTTTTACCGAAAAAGGTTTGGACCATTGCATAAAAACACTAAAAGCCCAGCAATCCTTAAAGAATGTATATTGCGTTGACACATTCAGACTAAGAGTTTATACTAAGAGTTTTATACTAAGATCATCTAATGTTGAAAAATGTCAGTTTAAGTGGTTTGTTCAATCTTTGAAAATAATGTTATTTTTCATTCAACCTTTATTTATGCAGGCTAGTCTCATTAAGCCACGAGGACTCATTTACAAGAGGGACCTGTATGCGTTATGCACAGACGCCTGCTATATCAGGGGTCTGCAATCTGCGGCTCTGGAGCCACATACGGCTCTTTGGTTCCTCTCCAACGGCTCTTTCAACCTTTGACCAAAACTAACATAAAGCTGAATTTTATTGGTTGTTATACAAACAACAAATAAGGATTAGTTTTAGCAGTTTTCCTGTCATTTCTTTTGCAAATATGTGAAAAGTGGAACTAGTACAAGGAGTAAAACATACTCACTTTAACTTTATGCTTTATTTCAATACTTAATTAATTTTTCCCCAATTAAAAAAATTACATAGGTCTATGTAGCTCATAGTTTTTATTAATTACCCCCCCCCCCCCCCACCCACACATACACACACTTTATAAGAATCTGGTCTTTTCATTTGTCTTAAATTGTAAAAATATCAATAAATGTTAAAAATAATGAGTTATTTTTAGCTTTATATGGTGGCCACAAAAGCCCCCTTCTGCAAACCTAAAATGGCCCATGGGCCACCTGTTGACAGTCACAGTTTTAGCAGGTTGTTGTGGCTCTGGACACATTGAATGTAGTGAACGAAGGCATAGAAATGGCTCTTTTGATTGTAAAGGTTGCAGACCCCTGTGCTATATAATAATACCTTATGTGATCTCACAGTATGTGTTGGAGATGACTTACATCCAGGCCAAATTTTAGCTCAGTGTCAAGTATAACATAGTCACGGTCTAGAACATTATTGCTCCACATTCAGGTGGAATTTGCAAACCAATAATAATGCCTGTATTTAATATAAAACATTTTTTTGCAGATCAGATGAGGGTAACAATAAAAGTTCAAACATAACAGCAGATCTTTTGGTTTGACACAGACATGCTTTGCTCTACTGATAAACTAATAAAGTCGAGCTTTAGTTATGCAGTCATCAAATTTAGTCTTAAGTACTTTAATTATGCTTACGTTTACTCCCCTCGTTTTGTTATGAAGCTTGTGACTTAATGTGGTGCATGTTAGCAAATTACATTTTGATTGGCAGATCTAGCAGTTGGCACACAGTGTGTTTGGCACGCTGCCAGGCTTGTTAAAATGAAAACGAGTGATGCAAGCGTCTAATGTATGCTGACTCAAACCACTGTCACATTTTTGTCCAATCTACTCCCAGGTGAGCAGGGTGTGGAGAGTCCTTGCAGAGGATGATGTTCTGTGGTTCAGGATGTGCCAGAGGGAGGGGTACTATCAGAATTTCAAGGTGTCCGACTCCCCCTGCTGGAAGAGCACCCTGCGGGACTGCAGGAACTCTGCTAAAACTGTTCGCTCCAACTGGAAGGTGGGCTTGAGTTGTGCAAATGATGTATTTCATAAGTGAAAGGAGAAAAGAGTTTATTAAAATAGCAAAAGGCTAGCTTGAAGTATTACAAAAAAAACTATCCAGAAGCTAAAAGTAGCAAAAAGCTAATCTGGAAGCTAAAAGTAGCAGAAGCTGAAAGCTTATGCTTATTTTTAATCTTAAGCTAAAAGAAGCAAAAGGTGGGCTAAAAGCTACATCTAGTAAAAGATGTGCTAAAAGTAGCTTTTAGCCAACTTTTTAATTAGCTAAAATTTAAAAGTTACATAAAAATACTAAATTACAACTAGATTCTGAAGTAGATTTCAGAATTCTAATTTTTTAAGGAATTGAGATCTCAGTGAGAACAATGTTTGTAAATAAAGATATGTATTTATGTAGTTACATATTTTCAAAAGTATAAAAACATATTGCTGTAACCGTAGTGAGTGGAAGACAATGCAGTGGTTGTCTTTTGATTTTAATACAGTTGAAAGAAAAATAATAAATGTTATTCTTTTAAAAGACAACTTAATCCAGAACCACGTCACAGTCATGTGGGTGTTGCTACTTTTCACCGGTATTTCACTCAAACGTGTCGCCTGTTTAGAATCGAGTGGGCTCCATCAGACAGCTGCAGTTTGAGCTGGGGAAGGTGTTGTGTGACGTCAGCTCCTGTGACAGCTTTGTTTTGGCTGGGTGAGTTTCAAGGACATGTTCAGATCACGTCTAACATCTTCTGTGTGTTCTTGTTTCAGCAAGTGACTGTCCACTATGATCATCTGCATTGATTTCTCTGTCACTTTAAATTAAACTTGTTCATTGATTTTGTGATTTATTACAGTGTGGCTAATTAAAATATACAATTGTGTGTGTTCTTGTCTAACCCGACACAAAAGTGACTCGCAACCTAAAATTTACTGTATTTCAAAGGCAAGTTATAGAATGATGCTAGTGTGAAAACGGCTGTGACCCCATCAGACTTCAGAAGACCCGCTGTAGTACAAGCAACAAGTTACCAGTAGCAGATTGACATTTACTGGTAGTCTTAAAAGTTGTATTCTGGAAGCGTACTTGACTCTTTTTACTACGCATCTTTAGTGTTCAGTTTCACCAAGTTTTGGCAAATTTAGGGTTCAAGTCGAGCAAAAGGATGAAGGGATTTCAGATGTGTGTGTATTTTTTGTGTGAATGCAAGCGCTATATATATATATACACAGTATTTTTATTTTTTTTCCCCCTAAATGTTCTAAGCTTCTAAAAGTTGCATAAAAGTGCAACTTTTAGAAGCAGTGAAATATTTTTTGCCATATTGGTTAAAATTAATGGCCCAATAGCCATAATTTAAGTTTTCAGTGAATGTGTTGCACACCGATACAATTTTCTTTCAAATAATGCAACTAGCTGAAGTTGGTGGAAGAAGGACACAAATTGCTGCTTAAACTAACTAAACCTGCCTTTAACCTGCTGTGCCGAGACAGTGATAAATTCTGAGGGACCCTAGGGACTCCATAGAGCGCCCCTTAAGGAGTTGTGCAGCGTCTCCTGGGAGCGACGTGAATAGATTCTCATTTAGTCCTGCCGTATCCCCATTAGTCTTCTGTATCCCACTGGAAAGCACTGTATGTTTGTATAGTTTCAAATTAGCAGGTACACAGTAACAAAATATTCCAGGCATTAAATAAGCTGCCTTACACAACATGAGTCAAATTCAGTTCTATGCACATGCAATTAACAAATTCACAATGTCAATACTTTTCCCATTATTGGTATGCATGGATCAATTCAGTTAGGCGAAAGCACTTGGCTTTGTTTGCTTAGAAGAGATCAATGATAGTTAAGAGGAGTCAAGAATGATTCAATTGGGTCCACTAAAATCTTATAAGGAAAGCAGTAAAATGTGATTTGGCGTTTAAAAGGCAACATGAGGAGCAGCCCTGTTATCTGAACACTGTCACAATCAGAAAGACCAGATTTGCTGAGGTTTGCACAAAGGCTGCGCAAAAGTTTTTTGTGCTTCAAAGTTTTTGATGAGGTACTTGGATGAGATTCAGCATCATCATCCTGTCGGTAGCTGGCATTGGGGTTATGCACCAATTAATCCTAAAGTGTGTAGTTCTGTTCTTTACTCCCTGCCAAACCCTGCACATTCACATTCGCTCTCATGCGCGCCCTGTGTCAAACATGCTGTCGCTGTGTGAAACATTGCAGCTCCGAGGCGGATACTTGCTCAGACATGATTGTATCTGTGGAGGCGGCAGATTGCCTCCTGCAGTGAGAGCTAATCAACTGGGGTAAAGAACTAAAGAGAGGGACGGGTGTGGAGTTCAGAACTGAGGTCTTTTTCAGTGAGAAGGAGAAAAACAAAGCAACAAAAGGCTTTGTTTTTTGACATTTCAATCATCACAGAATCAAACGTGTTGAGTGTAGTGTTTGTCTCAAGTGTAAGAAAGTTGCTAACATTTTATAAATGAACTGTCCAGTAGGCTGGTTCTACAGTTGAGCTCAGAAGTTTGCATCACCCTGGACAGGTCGCAAGTCCATCAGTCATCCAGTACAATACAGGGTAAATCTAAAATCTTTGAGTTGATAATCTGCATGGGAGCTCTCTGACAAGAAACATGTCCAGGTTATTAAACAACAAAACCAGAAAAAACAAGCTCATTATAAATAATAAATGTTTACAAATGGTCCAGAGCTCCAATTTTCATTTTAAAAATGTACGTTAAATCGTAAAGCTGCTGCTAAGACGGGTACAATGCAGGCAAGAAATTAATGTGCACGGCCAAAAATACACTTTTGCAAGCTGTGCACATGGAAATAAGTTGTGATTTTCAAAAAGTGGCTGTGCAAAACGCGACCGCAACTAGGCCCGTCACAATAATAACTTGCTGGTCGATTAATTGTCTCAGAAATTATCGTGATAAACGATAATATTGTTTGAAATTTGACAGAAATTAGTAATTATTGTCAAGTTTAAGAAGAAATGTTGGTTAATTTGTTTTGTGTGTAGTACCTTTATTTGACTACTGGATGGCAGTATAAGACTGTTTGAACTGAAGGATGGATAGTGAAGGAGCAAGCAGTGTGTCTTTAAGAAAAATGGGAGGAAGGCCTCTTGACGTGACGTGGGCTGTGTCGTTCCTCATTTTTGGTTCTCAAAATGACGGACGCTCTGTGTGGTTTGTTTTTCACACAAAGCTTTTAATAAAAAATAAAATCAGTAAACAAGTTCTCAGCTTTTTGCAGAGAAAAGCAACTTTTTTCATGAAGGCACGGGTTTGAACCGTGAATTTTGGAGCTTTGACAAGACGGAGGTTTTTTCCCCGAAGTCGGCCTGTTCGCTTAGCTCATAACTTAGAATCTCAGCTTAGCTGCTTTTAAACGATCTAAAAACGTGACTTTAGATCATTAAAACATATTGTAAAGAGAAAAGGAGGGGTCAGTGAAGAGCACCGGAGTCAAGCCTTTTCTCAACCAGTGTCTTCGGTAGAAAGAGAGAGACGTGAAGAACCGATAAAACCGATAAATGAAAATTAAGTCGATAATTTTAATTTGTCATGCAATTAATTGTTTTATTTTTTATTGCGACAGGCCTAATTGCAACACTCACTGGTCACTTGGTTGCAAACACACGGATCTGTTTTCATTAAAAGAGCAGGTTTATTTTAAAGCTTAAAATTCACAAGACGTGAAAGTGCATTAGAGCTTTTCCATCTCTGAACAGATGTTAATATTTACTTGAGTGAAAAAAAGATTGCACATAAACTCTAGTCCTTAGTCCATTAAAGTTCTAGGGATTCGATAAAGCTTACATTGAAATCAGTTGATAAGCAGTGAGGTCCGATAGTTTGAAGTGCATTGTTTGACATTTTTCGCCCAAACAACACCACCGTAATCCTCAAAAGATCATGTTACAACGATAATAGAAAACGGCGTAAGTCAGAGGAAAGTGAGAGAACGGAAATGACTCATCTGTGAGAAGAAAACTTTTTAGTTTGGGGTAAAACAAAACAAAACGACTTCTTCTATTGTTTGTGTTTAAAGGTACACGTCGGGTGATGTGAGGCTTTGGGACACGCTGCATTGGGACTCGTCAGCCTCTTACCTCAAAACTAACAGTCTGTCAGCTAACACCAGCCCCAGACCACATGTTAGTCATGTCCAGGTCAACAACACGGTGGCTGCTGCTGCGTATGAAGATGGTAAGAAATCACAATTACAGTATTAGATGTTGGGAAAAAAAATACTATAGCTACAGTTGAATTTTGATGGTTTTTCATTTCTAGCTACAGGTTTTGGGAACAGTATGGTTAAAGGTAATACTGACAGGGCAAAGTAAAATATTCGTACTGATAGTTACTAATAGTACCAATAGTTTAACAATTAAGATTCTTGATTTTTTTGGGGGGAACCCTTCTAGTTTGATGCCATTTATGTATTCTACTATTCCTGTTATTTGGTGTAGCATGTTGGTGCCCAATCCAGGTCTTCTAAGGGTTGCTTTCCTGCATGTTCCCCTGCATTGTTGCCCTTTTGACACACACAGGCTAAGACATGCTGAAGAGCAAGGAAACAACTAAAACATGCAGTACAGTACTGTATGAATGGGTACACGAGGGCACAGATTGTAGTGTAAAGCACTTTGAGTATCTTGATAAGATAGAAAGGTGCTATACAAGTACAGTCCATTTACCATTTAATAAAAAGTTGTGTTTGGGTGTAGGTTGCATAGACCTGTGGAGCACAGAGACAGGTGGGGCACCCATCCATCACTACCAGAGGCCAGGGAGAGTCCAGGCTTTGGCTCTGAGTCCAGACTGTCCTGTCCTGGTGTCCGCCAGCGGATCAGACATTCGGCTCGACAGTGCCAACGACTGCGGCTACTGGAAGACCGTCTGCCAGACTCAACTACCCAAAACTGTGAGTGAGACACTTTGTGTCTTCATTTGTATGGAACGCCTCACTACCAGGGAATTACTGTAATATAGTGAACGTTGTGTTTTGCCCCTCAGTTTTATGTCATTGTAAATGTAAATAGCTTGATTTTTGACCAAACTTTTCAACAAAAGCAAAATCTAAATAAGATACAATAAAGTACTGTATATGCAATAATATGCTAATTGTATTTTAAGCATTTTTATACTTTTTATATCATTCCAGTGAAATGTTCATGAACAAGATGCATGTGCTGCTCAAGTTCTGATGAGTAAATTAATTAGCATTATTAATGTTTCTTACTTGGCAGGTCGAGAGCCTTATTTTGGTTCCAGACAGAGCAGATCAGTCACCACTGGTGGTTCTAGCAGCAGGAGAAGACGTCTGTTTGTTGAACCCTCGAGAGGAGCAGCCACAGACGCTCCACTCCGTTTACGGTCATCCCGTTACCTGCCTGGACGCCTCCAACTCTCTTGCTGCTTTCGGGGTGAAGCGCACAGGCTGGGCCATGCATGATGGAGGCAACAAGGTGAGCTCAGTTTTTGTTAAACGTTAATTTTCTGTTTTTCAAATTGCAAATACTATCTTATATTTACAAAAAAAACCAGCAGTGATCATCACTAACTGGACCCAGAATTGCCTGTGCAGAACTTAAACCTGTTGCTTTAATGCAAGACATGCAATTGTGCAGTTTAGCTGTTTTAATTAGTTTTGCTTGAGGTAGTTTATTGTTTTATGCATTTGCATAAAGAAAACACTCGTAAGAGTGAACGTATTTATTAAGGATGCACGATATTATCAACATGGCATCGGTATCGGCCGATATTAGCGATAAAGTTAAATATCGACCATCGACCATTCCATCAAAATAACTCACCGATATATAAGGCGTTGTTTTTGTATGACAACTCGATGACAAGGATGCCTGCAATGCCAGCTAGGCCTGTCGCGATAAACAATAAATCAATTAATCGCACGATAAATGAAAATTATCGACCTCGTTTTCATTTATCAGATTTATTGTTTCTTCGTGTCTCTCTTTCTACTGGACACTGGATGACAAAAGGCTCAACTCCGCTGCTCTTCACTGACCCCTCCCTTTCTCTTTTCTTTTTAGAATCCATTTTAACCGTCCAAAATGCATTTTTGGATTGTTAAAAGCGGTTACACTGAGAAGCTAAGCTAACAGGCCGACTTTGGGGGGAAAAAAAACCCTCTGTTTTGTTGAAGTTCCAAAATTCATAGTTGAAACCTGTGCCTTAGTCTAAAAAAAGTTGTTTTTCTCTGCAAAAAGAAGTTGTTTACTGATTTTATTTATTTTTTATTAAAAGCTTTGTGTGAAAAATGCTTTTCTAAAGAGCTCAAAACAAACCGAGCATCCGCCATTTTGAAAACCAATAAACGAGAACAAAAGACAGCCCGTGTCACGTCAAGGTGCCTCCCTCCCATTTTTCTTAAAGAGACACGCTGCTCGCTCCCTCACTATCATGAATCCTTCAGTTCAAACAGTCTTATACTGCCATTCCGTGGTCAAAAAAAGGTACTACGCAGAAATTAACCTACATTTCTTCTTAAATTTGACAATAATTACTAATGTCAAATTTCAAACAATGTTATCGTTTATCGCAATAATTTCTGAGACAATTAATTGCCCAGCAAAATTGTTATCGTGACAGGCCTAGCACCAGCACAATTATGACATCACGCACGCCTACCTGATCTGATCATGGCGGGAGAGGAAGAAGTGAAAATGTTGGCGATGTGGACGTTTTTTAAAGTGTCTGAAACAGATACCATATATACAGTAATAGACAGTATATTTATTAATGCTCTACTACTTATGCACTTTTCACTTAAAAAAAAACTCCACTTTATTTATAAGATTTTCAAGTAAATTTATATCAAAAAGCACAAAGACAAAACAAAAAAAAAGCAAAAAAGACAAGCAAATAAAATATAAAGTGAAGATAAGATAACCAATAAATGCATAAATAAATGAAAAAGATTGGGCAAAGTTCACAATTGTATTACCTCCTCAACTGTCCATCTTATCAAGAAGACACTTAAGTAATGTGGTTGAATAAAAAGGAGCATCATTGGTCTTTTATATATTCCAACACTGGATTCCATATCCTAGAGAACTTAAAGAATGTTACCAGAAGTTCATATCTCAGTCTTTCCACATGCAGAATACTTATGAGTTCAGTCAGCCAGGTCTCACATTTGGGGGCTAAATCAGACTTCCACAGTTTCAGAATACACTTTTTTGCAATCGTCATACAAAAAGTTAGAACAATACGCATGTTACAGTCTGGGCTTTTGTTGGGAGTATCCCAGCAGAGCAGGATCAGGTGTGACAGTGATGTTAAAGACAGATGACAACCGTTGAAAGATAAGAGACCAAAAATTATGTACATTTGGACAAAACCACCAAAGGTGAGCTAGAGTACCTTCTGCTGCCCGGCATCTGTTACAAAGTGAAGAAAGATTAGGAGAAACTGTGTTTAATTTAGCTTTAGCATAATGTAATCTGTGAACTACCTTATACTGAATCATTTGAAGCCTGGCATTAATTGAACAAGACTTGATGTTCATTAATATTTCATCCCATGTTTCATCCTCGATCTCAATAGCAAGCTCACCTTCCCAGGCTTTTTTTATTTTACTCGTAGAAGAATCTAAAGTACTTGAGAAAAAGCGAAACAGCTCAGAGATCAAATGTTTTGGTTCAGGGTGGCCTAGGAGGGATTTTAACAATATATTATTCTCAGATGGGAATTTATACGACTTTGTAGTCTGTTGGACATAATGTCTCAGTTGTAAATACATAAAAAACTGAGATTTTAAAATAGAAAATTTGAATTGCAATTGTTCAAAGGAGCCCAAATGCTCGTCAACATAAAGATCCTCTAAACGGACAATCCCCATACAGCTGCACTCTCTAAAGGCAGAATCTGTAGGAGATGGGGAAAAAGTCATTGTTCTGCCAAATTGGAACATGAGCCGAAATGTGTGGGAGCGCGCAATGTTTTCTAATTTGATTCCAGATCTTCTTGGTATTTAACAAAGTAAAATGATCCTTCCTATAGACCGCAGGAGGCCTTTGGGATGAAAACAGGAGCGCAGGAAAGAGAAGTCTTGTGAGTTAGGCTTTTTTCAATGGTTAGCCAAGAAGGTGGGATAAACCTCTCCCCCCTTCTCAAAGCCATATTGCCAGTACACCATGACTCTGACGTTGGCGGCCCAGTAGTAGTGCAAAAAACAAGGCAAATGCACTTGTCACTTGTGAACAGGTCGAGTTTAGATTTGTGAAAATTTACAAATTTGCACTGTTCGAGTGTTGTCGTTGTGTTAGAGAGTAAATGTCATGAATAAATTTGACATTAAACATAATCCAAGTTGAAGTGTTGCATCATTTTCAGCTCCCTTTTTGGCATCTGCATTTGGTAGCAGGCCATATTGACAAAGACTATGCAGAATAATCTAGTGTTTTAATTCCACAGCAGAGAAAGCTATACAGTCTCTGTACGTAGGTCTAGGAAAAATAAAATCTGTACTGGTACTGGTTATCCGCCAAATACGTTTTAACATATTGGCATATCGGATATCGGCTGAAAATCCAAATATCGTGCATCCCTAGTATTTATGCTGTTTTTGTAAAATGATAACTGGAGCGGTAAAATAAACTTCCTGCAATAACTTATTGTAACATTGGCAGTCATACACGTCAGCGCCCTTTAAATGAGCTTTACTATGATAAATGTTACCGTGTTTAATGTTTATTTGTTACAAGGTCCTGTAAATTCACGCAGGCCTTTTCTCAGAAGACCTTCTCTGTTTACTGGGTCCAGCTGTGTTTTTTGGTGTCATATCTGTAGTGCACGCAGTAATTCACATCTTGGTCACCATTATCTTCTTGATTACAAACAACACTTCATTATACATATTAACGTACAGTTCAGTGTTTGTTCGTTAATGGAAGTGATGGAACCGTGTCAAGGTTTTGTCGGGGATAAACACGAATGTTGGCAACAATCTGGCACAACCTGCGCGTCAGGATTTTAGACGTAGTGTCAAAAAACGGCACTGTTTTACCTCACTAATTGAAAATCGGTTTCCATTAGAGTTAACAAGGTCACTTGTGCTCGCAGAAGGTGCGTAATGGAAAAACGAGCTGTTCATCGAGGTAAATAATTTGGTTTTGGTAAAAGGAAAGATGCTTGTTGTTCTGTTCAAATACAGTTCAGCGAGGGGCGAAAACCAGTTAGGACACAAGTTTTGGCGTTGGCCATTGTATATTTAATGAAACACTCATCTACCCTGACCTAATAAATGAATTAAACTTACTGTGAAACAATACGTCCTGCTTTTGAAATGCAGCCCACGTTGCAAAAAATAATCAGGACTTCATATAAAATAAGAATTCATCAATGTTTGTTCACCGGTGTGAAGTGGGTCTCACGATGGTGTGATCACTATTATGTAGTGTCCCTTTAGATCTGAAAGCCATAAACCTGTCGGGGATTTATTTCTAGTCTAGCGATCTTAAACTGCAGTAATCCGTCCCCCGGTGCGGCTCCTAATTACTACAACATTTAAGTTGACTCTTCTTGGGCGTAGTTTCTGAACCAGCTTCTGTTTGTTTCTAATAATACTGTGTTTCTAAGGAGCCCGAGCTGCTAACTGACTCTTAAACCTTTACTTAGAACACGGAGTCTTGAGACAACCTGCTCTGATCGTGTCGAGAGGTTTCTCCTCTTGGGTCATTACACTGTCGAGATTACTTCACCCCTTTTTTCAGTGTTGAGGATTTAAAAAGTAAGCAGCATCAAAACATAAACACATTTAAAGATTACTGCCGGTACTTTTTTATTTTGCAGGGTTTTCTACTGAAACAAAGCACCACGATGAAGAGGCAGACTGACTCATTGGTCAGCTAATACATGAAGACATTTTATTTTACAATTTTTAAAAAAATTGTGCCAACTACACTTGGTTATAGAGATACAGTGATAAGATTTCTAAGGCCAATACTTAAAAATCAGGGCAGCCTATGGCCGATATGCCACACCAACTTTTTAAAATGTTTGTAAATATGTATTTTTAATTTCATAATACACTGCTTGGCCAAAAAAAAGTCGCCACCAAAAAAAAAAAAAAAAAGGTCACACACTAATATTTCGTTGGACCGCCTTTAGCTTTGATTACATCATGCATTCGCTGTGGCTTTGTTTCGATAAACTTCTGCAATGTCACAAGATCTATTTCCATCCAGTGTTGCATTAATTTTTCACCAAGATCTTGCATTGATGACTTGGCACTAGTCATGATGGGTGCATCACTTCACCTGCCTCTCTTCTTACCCTGATGCACCCATCACTCTGGAACAGGGTCAATCTGGACTCAGACCACATGACCTTCTTCCATTGCTCCACAGTCCAATCTTTATGCTCCCTAGCAAATTGAAGCCTTTTTTTTCCCAGTTAGCTTCACTGATTAGTGGTTTTCGTAAGGCTGCACGACTGTTCA